GGCGGCAGACGAAGAAGAGAACAAATATATTGTTGGACTCAAGTGTTTCTTCATGTTGAGTGGTGGTGTTGCAATGGTAAGGCAGTATACTTAGAATACGTTTATATACTGATTAGGTTCTTTTATAAAGAGAATGAAGTTTATCTTTGTGTTTTATATCTTTGAGTCTTGATTTCAAGTCTTGTCAACTGCATGTGTTCATAACGCTAATTTTAATTTGTCATAAAAGTTAAGATATGTTTTCCCCAGGTGACGATATTCTCCGACCCGATGTGTGATGTTCTCAGTGGTATAACGGATGAAAAAAATGCCGAAAATGGCGGTAGCTACATCAACATAAGTCGTATGTATTGGTTATATTAAAGAATTCAATTAGGAGAATGTTTAAATAACGCTAAAAGAAAATATACAAATCCTGCATTTGCAAGAGGAGTAATAGGATCTTTAAGCAGAACGCAATGGCAAAGGAAGAAACAGACCTCTCTCTAAAAATTTGAAAATCATCAATCGTAAATGAATTTAATTCAGTATGAAAAATTCAAACATTGGGTTTATGCTTCCATTACCGTTGTAGTTAATATACTACAATATATTTATTGGCACAGCACGGCTATAAAATGGGTGCCCGTACCCAATTTTATCAGTCTTCAGGCTACCAATACGAAGGCCGAGCACGGATGAAGCGGGTATAGCCGTGCCGTGGCAGCCGTGCCAATAAATCAAGTGTAGTGTAAAATCCCTAATTTGAACGTAAGCAACTAGTGTACACGCATATTAATTAGGAAATGTTTATTGGGGGTTAAGTGTAGGGGTTGTACCCTTGTCTTGAGTCAAACTTCTTATTTTAACTTTTACTATTTTTAAGCGTTCTACGTGTCGTTTGTTGTAACTCCGATTTGCTCGAACGCGTCCGAGCTGGTCTCTTCCCTTCTCTTTGCTGCCAAGAAGAAAAAAGAGAACGTGTCCATGACTTTCTCTCAGGTGAGAGTTTTTTGTTTGGGAAAATGGAGTTATTTAACTAATTTGCGACCGGTCGTTGCCATAGCACGGTGTGTTCAAGAACAATGTGTTCTTCAGTACATATAATCAATAAATTATATATGTACATATAATATAAATTATATAAATTATATTTGTACATAACGACAAACCTGATTGACAATACAGAATTTGCTTACTTTTCTGCTATACTTGCCAAGCACAAATTAGAACGGAAATCAGGAATTCTCAGTACAGTGAAAACGAGGAATGAACGGAAATCATTGACATAACTAGTTTTGCTTGTTGTAGTTGTATGGCGCAGCAACAATGAACAACACCTTGTGTTTGGCCATCTTCTGTGCATTGGTCTACTTCAAGGACCTTGAATGGTATTACTCTGCAGGTTCGTTACACGCATCAAATATTATGTTTGTCTCGTAGGTTATTTCAGTAGGGACTGGTTCTAATGCTGGTGTTTAGTACTGTTTACCAAAGTCTTACGCTGAAAGCAAACTAGTTAATACAATCATTTTTCTTCATTACAGAGGTGACAGTGATCTTGCTTGTGCAATGGTTCGTCTTCGCCATGGGTTATACTACAACCTACAAGGTATTTACTCTAGCATTCAGTCGGATAAATCATACCATTATCCATGTTGTAAATGTCATAGTTTTTATCTGTTCACTGATTCACAGGGCATGTACATCGAGGAAATTCAAATTTACGAATGGAAAGCCGTTCAATATTATTTGCATCACTCATAGCATAAATGACAGCATACTGAGCACTTCAAATATTCTGAGCGCTTCTGTTTAGAAAAACCAATGACTGTAATTTCACGTAAATTTTTTGGTGGTCAAAATATGAAAGTTTTTATAAAAAATTAAAATTTTACTGGGGTGTTCTTTGTAGGACATAGCCTTCCTCCCCCCCCACTCTCTGATACGCTGGGGCGGACTTGACGTCTAATTTAGTCCTCATTGTCGGATTTGAATTATTTTATGTTTCACCGCATATTTATAGATAGCAGCTATAGGGCAATACATTTCTCAACCTTATGGGAGTCGACCTTCATGGTTGTGCACAGCGGTAGCGCTATACATTATAAATACGCTATAGAACGCTATAGTGCCTGAGGTGGGGGAGATGTGAATCAACTTTTTTGCTTTACGTTCGCCAAGTGATATCGAAACTTTTATTTATTTTTCTTTAGTTATGGAAGCTCGTTCCCGTTGGTTTCTTATACATATTTTCAATCATCTTGATCGCCATCCTGGAAAGCAGTGCAGTTGGATGGAAATAGACAATTTTTCTATATTTTAAACGGTAAGGTGGCATTTCAGTCAGCTGGGATTTTAACCTTTCTAAACGGAAACACCTTCTGATAATGCATACATACACTACATGAAAGGTCCACCACATTTTAGGAAACTATGTCAGGGCCTTTCCGCCCGTGTCTCCGACTCTAAATGTCCCCAAATTTATCTCCAAAACATGTGAATGTCATTAGTTTGAATGTATTATCCAAATGGACTAAAATTTTTTTTTTAGATTTTTCCTGTGAATGCAGATTTGTATTTTAATGTACGTGTGGCGCACGACGACTTGCAAAACGTGATGTAGTAATCGAAAAGAACAGTGAAAATACGAATGTTAGTGTGTACTTCATGATATAGCACATGAAAGTTTTTTATTCAATGCAATTCGCACAGCGAACACGTGCCAAAAATTGTTAGGGAATGCTAAAAACTATATTAAACTAAAACAGATTGAAGAATATATAAAAAGTGATACTTCGTATTCATATATAGGTCTTTTGAATGAAATACATTTTGGTTGGAAGTATAGCCTTCAATCTATTTTAGAATTGCACACCAAATATGAACTATTATTGTACTTATAGTCTAGTAAACATATAGTGTTCGCGTTGGCCAGCTGTTCAAAATTCGGCTATTTTACAATAGCTCAAGCTCTCTAGCACTTTAAGTTTAAAAAGTTTTTCTAGCCGAGCCCAGTCGTGCAACCTCACAAGATACCTAGCATATAACTGAAAATGGTACTGAGTAAAAAATCGAGTTTTCTACATCTGGCGTACCAAGAAAAAACATAGCCTTTTTATAATTTTTTGAAATTGATATAATTTGTGTATTTTACTGTTTTCTGCTGTAAAAAAAGTGAGAAAAAAACTCGTGTTGTACTGTTCGTTTTTTTCGCGGCCTAAACTAGCACACGCCTAGATCGTTCCACAGACAAATGGAACAACAAGGCCGTCACAAGTTACACGATTAATCACGGTTAACGAGTAGTAAACCTCGAACTATTGGACCAAGAAAGGGTTTATTTTATCCTCACGATGAACACCCAATCATCTCACGACATCCCCTCACCCCCCCTCAAAGCCCCCAACTTCATGCTAGAATTGTGTGGCAGCAAAATCAGTCACCCTTCGCGGTTACCAACTTTGAACTTATTAGCCATTTGCCATTACTTGCGCAAATTCAGATAAAAAACAATTCCATCGAATTGCAAACTATATTATACTTGCTGGGTGTATATAGTTGAGTTAGTGGGTTGAAACGTCGCATTTTGGTCGCGTCAAATGCAATTCAAACAATAGGTGATGCATGAGATGATAATGAACATGTCATCTTATTATTAATTGTTTGAATTGCCTTTGACGTGACCAAAATGCGACGTATAAATTATGCCTAAGGCCCGTTAAGACGTCGAACTTTTTATGTGCTAATCCTAATATGAGCTAAAGTTTTTATTAAGTTCATTTTTATTCGATTTGTTACATGAAAATTTCGCCTGAAATTTCAGGCATCAACTTGAACCCAAAAACCAAGAGGAGATTGCAGTGCAGAAAATTATATCCCGCGTGAGAGTTACTGCAATTATACAGAAGTACACTTTGTGTCTTTACCTCAACAATGTGGACGTACAAAAGGGCTGTGGCCCTGTTTACACTAAGCCGTATTCGCATGACGACGGCATCAAAATTAGCCATGCAAAAGCGAGTTCTATCCCCCAAAAGTATGATAGCATCATGATTGCTTTAATGCGACCAGCCAAAGGAAAAAGTTCTGGGAACAGAGATATCTTTGAACAATTTATCTTTGATATCGTGACCATGTGAATCCATTATATATAGCGTAAACGGGGTATGTAAGAGTCCATCAGAACTGTAGTTTTCCACGCAGGCGGACGGCGATTGACATATTGGTTTAAATAGTAACAACTTTTCTCTGCATGGCATAGTCGAATGTCACTTCCAAGCAGGCAAAATTATTCTTATCGCTTACTACCCAAAATTGATGCATGCGAACAATGTACAACAGTAATATATATTTCCTTAAAGTAGAACTACAAAATGTAGATGCAAAATATATATGTGATAACCATCATGGTGAACATTTCAGACTTATATATAATGTACAGAAATATTTTAAGCATTACTACACACAATTGGATTTCGTCTTCAGTGAAAGTGTCTTAATCCGGAAGGTATGGCTGCAAAACTTGAGTCATAGTCTTCGAACTCCAGCGCGTCAAATGATCCTGGAAATATATAGGAATTAAGTAGGAACTATAGTCCAGCATGATTTAAAAGGTTACCAAATAAGGAATTAAAGAAAAAAATAGCGATGTTGAAAAGTAAGCGAATACCTACTTGTGGCAAATAAAGACATATATTCGATACTTTGAACAACGAAAGAGTGGAATCACGAGACTGAAATACAATGTAACGTGTTTGGTTAGTGATCGTGACAACGTTTTAGAAACTATTTTCATTATCTATCAGTGTTAACAATGAATAACATAGGAAAACATCGTATGTACAACACCTGTATACATATTTTTCTAAACACCACAATACCTGCCAATATTGGTGATCCAGAAACAAGAACATACTCTGTGCTGGATTGCTTACGATGAGATTTTTTCTCATGTTCTTCTCGCGGATATGAAGTATTTGCTTCTCGTAATCTTCAACGTTATTCTGAAACGTCGCCTATAAAATTGATATATTATAATCTGCAGTTATGTAATTATACTTAATCTCGAAGCAGTCGTTTCGTGCCTATAACTTTAAGAAAAACAAGCAGCACAAATTTTGCAATATTTAAAAATGCACTATTTATAGTGGTGACAGCGAAAAGCTATTTTCGAAGTCTATAAATATAACTAATATATTATAACTAAAAAAATCGCTTGAATTGCGGCAGATAATATAACTAGCTGCACAGTAGACAACCATGCATAAAAATCAATGGCTTATAAGCATAGTGTATTGGAATCAGCTACAACAAAACACGTTAATTTCCAAAGGTCTTTCCAGATCGGTCTTGTTAGACGATAAGTATGCTCATTGCCTGTTTGCACTGTCCCAGCCAAACTACTGAAATTTTCCTGTTATTCGCCGTACACGTTTATCACAGTACTTGGATATTTGTCAATTACGATTTTATGGCAATCCATTGGATGTAGGGTAATTTTGTAAATATTTTAAGGGTCTTAATTTCGGGTGGAGATCATACACAACTCAAAATTCAAGGCAGAAAGGGTTGGGAAAAACGTCTGTCCTCCGACAGAGATCGAACCTTTTACGATATCGGTGCCACGCTCTTGCCACTGAGCTAACATGCAGATGGAGGTGGCTGACAAGACCGGGCGTGGTTGGTGTGTATTTAGGATGGTATAATGACTGCGAGTAGGAGACGTTAAATAAATTAAGATTTGATATGATTCCCACTCGAAATTCAGGCTCCTAAAATAACCCTTTCGGTCATGCAACTTACTTCAATGTGCTGAAACTCGGCTTCACTGTCGCCCTTCCATCGTGAAAACAGGAAACACGTTACTCTCTCCAAATCATTTCTGGGCCATAAAATGAAATCCATATCCCGAGTGCATCCAACCACGTCCTATAGAGGAGATACACAGAGTATAATATATATTCATGTTTAACTTACACTCGCAAGGTAGTATGCAGGGTGTCTATAAAAAAGTAACGCAATCTTGGAGTTTTCCAAGGAATCCGCCTTTTTCTGAATGTGCAAATCTCTATGATCTTTATAATTACTACATTTGTGTTCCAAAAGAGCGCCTGCGTACGAGGCTGTATAGACATAAAATCTTATGATCGCAGACATCGAAGATTATGTCTAGGTCTAGAAGATTTATGGACTAATTCAATTTATATCATGAAATAGATCATCAGCGTCGCTTCATCCTGAAATGCAGACGGCCTACATCGACGTTTTGCCGTTGTAAGCAGAACGTAGATGACCTTCATTGTATTGATAGCCGTCGCCGTCCTGTTCCCGTCCTACATGCTTAAGGTTCCTAATGCACAATGGCGGAATGTTGTAAGAATACGAGGAAAGCTTGTAAAACACGAAGCGCAGCCAAAAAACTTTTTAATTTAGCATTCAACATTGAGAGCCTTCACATTCATACAATACTCCACCGAGAATAACATGGTAGCTTGCATAACAGATAATTTTTGCAGCATAATTTTGGTTAAATTATATGTTAAGGGTGTTTAAGCCCTACAATTATAATATAACAATTATTATCATATAAAAATGGGACTGTAATAAACATTTACAAATTACACAACAAGCTCAGATGGAACAAAACTCAGCCGAATTGTGTGAATAATTGACCATAGAGAAAAAGATGGCTGCATGCATTGTACATTTGACCAGAATGCATTGCAGGCATCAAGAATAAATGACAGAAAAAAGATGGTAAGAAAGCACTTAAGGACATAGAAAATTATCACAAAGAGGAAAATAACCTCCTGTTTATGCCTGTTTTTCAAAAGACTTTCTGGTTATGGTCAATTGCAATCTGTAATGATTTCTGAAAAGAGTTAGCCAGGACTAAAGTCAATTATAGAGGTTTATTAAGAATAAGATTATAACTGTATCTTACTTTTCTCAGAGAGCAGTATTGAGGTGCATGGAATTGCACCATGTCCTTCTCCAATAGCTGTACAGAACTATCCATAGAATAGATATTGTCCTAAACAAAAATATTATTATTTACATACAAAATATTATCTTAATATAGCTATCAGTTTGAAAAGAGGAGTAGGTGGTTAATTGTTGTCTGTTGAATTACAAGAATTGTATAATGTTGTTTTGAAAACTGATGTTGCTTTGAATTATACCGATGTTGCTATATATAAGGAAATAGGCAGGTTTGAAATCTATCCTGAGGTTGAAGGTGGTTTCTGTATTCTTAAACAGACAGTTAAATAATAAAATAAAATAACAATAACAATAATAAACAAGCAATCTGAACTAGGATCAATTTCAAGTTAACATTTCATGTAAAACATACCGTGCTGGGGCCGGTTGTATCAAACCCGTTTAGCTTAAACGGTGGATAAGTCAAAATTAAATAACTCTCCTACATCTCTCTTGAGTGAGTCAACGTGAATTTTATGCATTGAATATGTAGTTGTAAACAGTATCTTTGTATTAAGGTTAAAAACATTTAGTTTGCTTGTTGAATAAAACGATAGACTTGATTTCTATTTTGAACTTAACCACCGTTTAAGCTAAACGGGCTTGATACAACCGGCCCCTGAAGACTAAACAATACATATACCTCAGCTCCTTTAAGAATGCTTTTTTCATAATCATTGGTCATTACTGAAACAACCCTACTGACTTCGAACAGTGCAGACTTCTTATGCTAAATAATTCAAGGATAAGAAAAATGGATGTTTTTGGCACTTGTTGCAGATAATAACATAAACATGCTCAGATCAACACAAGCTAGCAGCAGTGGAGGCCTCAGATGGGAAATTTTAATTCTTAGATTGATTCACCTGATTGTACGAGGTCATATAAACATGCACTTACAAGTCCTTTTTATACTATATAAATCTTTGAATTTCTTTACTGTTACAAATAAACCAAATAAAATAGAATTCCTCTGATTGAAAAACTAAAATATACATAGTAAATGTTCAAAATGAAACATTTTGTACATATCACACCCTGATCACTGCATGCTGTTGACATATATGCTTTCATAGCCAATAAGTACCTTCACAAACCAAAACCAAAAATTTTCCTCATGGATTAAAGGCTTAATTATGCATTTCATGCCTCTGTAATGTTTTTTTATAATTTCTATGTTCTAGATTGGTGCATCATGCATGGACCAATCAAGGATCGACGTGCCTATAAAAGTGAGTACCATACAAATGCCATACCGATGGAATATTTTGTGGGTACAAGTGATCAGGACAAACAAAAGACAGAAAAGGATATGTGGTTTCCTCACCTTATCTTTGAACACAAAGGCAACAAACATCTTAAACTCAAACTGATCAGCCAATGACTCCTTTCCATCATTCAATTTCTTCTTTAAACGATTTATCACATTTGATTTCCTTGCCCGGGGACTAGCCATGTTTGCTGACAGGTAATGAGATTCTTTCGGTTACTTTCTAACCAGTCTCCATACTTAACATGGTGACTTATTCAAAATTAAACCATCTGTATCACAGTCAACAGTCCTTGAAGTTTCCTAAATTTTTTGTTCAAAGCTTTGATATCTCACAAAATTCTTCAGTTGTTTAATTGTACTTCACTTGTCTCCACTTTTCATTAACATACTCTGCAGCATGCGGAGAAGAATTGTCACAATTTGACTTAAAAATGTGTATGTTTGAAATTCTGAATATAGCTTCCAATGAATTGCCACAGGTCAAAACGACAAATCCACACGTAAAACCTGCTCACGCTTTAAACGATTTACCCGAGTGAATGAACAACTACTTTGGTAGAGATGAGTCATCTTGACATAAAGTTGCTTCACGATATAACTTTTTCAAAGAAATATTTTGACAAACTTTTGAAGAAGATGATACCGTGTCGTGGACACTGTTTCCTGTGATATACCCGGCAATTATAATCGGGTATTCGTACCACCGGCGTATTTTCGCCTGTCGTGTTTCGCCGTGTACTTCATCCGTGGCAAGATGGCGGCTAGTTTGCAAGTTGCAAGAACACAAGGTCTATTATGGCGAAGGCTTTTCACCGGAATCAAAACATACGAGACTAACGCCGGTAAGTAGTGGTAGACTTGAGAGCTTAAAATAAGCAATCAAATTTTTTTGAGGGCGATGACCTAAAATTGTGTATGATTTTGAGTCTTTAATACGGGCCCTTTCATTGCCGTTTTTTGCTGTGAAATATATTAAACTTAGAGTCCAAAGTTCATGCGAAGGTTGATAACACTCGGGAAAGTGCTGCGTTAATTGAACCCATTCAACCTAAACAAGTTTCTTTTATTTAGAATCTAAAATATACCAGTTTAATATCTTGTAAAATTATAAATTGTAATGGTTTCGTTATAACAAAAATATTTGCAAATTTTCACACATTTTGTACACATTTTTGAAACTAGTCAAACGGGATTCTTATTTATAAATGGATTTAATATAGAGGAACCACTAAATACTAATATGAAATAAAGGTTACACAGTACACTGGGAATATCTAGCACACAAATTATTTGTACTGTTAGCACTACCTGGTGTACATATGATTGGCAAAGAATTCGATTTTGAAGATATTTGTAGATATTATAATGTGTACTTGATCAAATCAAAACCAGTTGAAACATTTTTTGCATACTTTAGGCACCATTTTTTTGCAATATCTTATATCTCTTCATCCCTTCAATGTTTTGGCAAACTAAACATGTTTTCGAAGAAATCATTAATAAATTAAAACTAATATTCTTGTAATTTTTGCATGGTGATGTAAGCGAATTAGCTTAAAATAGATTGTTAAAGTCCACAAGACTAAAGTATAAGTATAATTACATTATATTGAAAATAGTGAAGACAAACACCCACCGCTTGCCATCCAAACACATACTATATGGACCTTGTTTCCCATCTCAATTCTTGATTTTAATTTTTTAAGTTCTATTGAAATAAAAGCAATCATGCTGCTGCATATTTGCATTTTTCCTGAAAATAAGTATATCTAAAATTTCTATGCTTTTTTTTGCAGAAAAGCAATGTAGAAATCAGACCAGATATATATTAAACCTGTATATCAAACCAGAATACTTCTCTGTAGGTAGCAGTAACATCTATTATTGCATGATCAAACTTGATAAGAAACAGGGGCACGAAAATTTAGAATTTTACAGTGGCATAGCCTACATAGTAATCATGAATTAAAAATACATACAGTGAAACTCTTCATGTTTACATTATAAAAGACGGCGTGTTTGCAAATCATTCCTGAGTCCCAGTCCCCCCAACCGACATATTTTCGAAACTATTTAACTATATCAAAAAGGGTTGTAGAACTTATAAACTAATTTTTCAAGCTCTATTCAAATCCGTAAAGATCCCACAAGTGATATAGGCACTTTAACTAGTAACTATTTTTTTTCAATGGACAAGAAAATAATTTCTAATATGATGACTAATTGTATTGCAATCATGCATTCAAAGAAGATATTTTAATTTGAAATGCTTGTTTGACACTTGTGTATAGTAATAGCTAGTTGCAAGGAACTTCCAATGTTTTATTGGTTGGTGTTTCTAGGTTGATGGTTTCTGTAGGTTGAAATGAGGGCCTTGAATCTTTTTTTCTTTTAAATTCCTCTTTTCATAAAGGATTTTACAGAGGAGGTTAGTTCTGTATTCCAGTCTTTAAATGACAGCTGCTAACCAAACTATTGTTTTCTCTTTGTGCTCTACTTTTCTCCTTCATTAAGGAATCTATAATAATTATAGATCTATAGTATCATTTTGGTTATGGAGTGATGCAACCTCATACCCAGGGTTTTATTACCTTTGTTCCATGATCCTGCACCGTTGGTATGATGTTGGGAGTGATATGTTATGGAACTTTCTTCAAGAATTTCTTTTCAAGGTCTTTGGTCTCTTGATCAGGAGGTCTTAGAAGTTCATAAAATTATTTTTTCCACCTAATAAAATTCAAAGCCCATTGTGGATATAGTACTCCAGCTGCAGCCATTTCTTCACTAATTTCTAAAAATATTTAATTTCAACTCATTACGAGATCTATGATCTAAAATATATAAGTAAACATTAATTATTAATGTTTTCATCCTGTACCTCAAATGGTCATACAGTAACCAATGAGAAAGTTCTTATGTGGGGAGTATAAAAAAAGTTTACTTACATATATTACACATTTGTAAATTGTAAAATATTGGCAATTTGACTGCTTGCATAAGTAATGTTTGAGAAATTGCCTAGTATTTGCCAGCTGTCTGTCGTTTTGTGGTTGGCTGGTTGCTTAACAACTATTGGATTTTTAAATGCAATGTTTGAAGAAAGTTATTAAGTTCGATGCTGCCTTGGCATGTTTTTTTATTACTGAATTCTGAAGTGTGTTTAATGATGATAGATTTTTTTCACGTTAGCAATAACCATCATAGCTATATGAAATCTCGCGCTTTGCACCTGTCAAGCTGTTTAAACGCTTTATTAGAGTTGTCATCAATAATACCGGCTTTTTACATGTCGTAATATTAAACAATTAAAAGGTTCTAGAGGATATTGCATGAGCTTAAGGATGCTGCGTTGGTGAAAACTGCATGTTTCTTGCATTCTCAAATCCTGAATTGTGTTCGTTGATATAATATTGGAGAAAATGAAAGGATTTTATCTTCATGGGAGCTTTTGCCGACTTCAATCTTTCTGATGTTCGAGACAATCATTGCGTAATGAGTAATCAATCTGTAGAACAAGGTTCATATGAAGTATCATGCTCCATTTTTGGTGGAACGCATGTCTTTATGAGGAAACGTCCGTCAGATAATCTTTTGGTCAATTACATCATCCTTACTGTCAATATCGTCTTGATATCTCCCACGGTGCTACTAAATGGTATTTCGATAATTACTATTCTGAAATCTTCCCAACTGAAGAGCAAGCTGTGCTATTTTATCATCATGATGCAATCAGTGTCGGACTTGGCTGTTGGCGTTTTCGGAATACCTTTATTTCTTGTTTTCCTTATGACTGCATTGGGAGGAATATCGAACTGCTATGTTGCTACTCTGGCCTATAGATTATCGGTTCTACCAATTGGAGTTTCTATTCTGACCTTATCTTCCTTGACGATGGAAAGATACGTAGCAATCTTGCATCCGTTTTCTTACAGTACCAAATTGACACAGTCAAGAATTTTAATATATGTTTGTACCGGCGTCGTAGTGATGTTATTGATCGCCGTTCTTTCTCTTTCTATCGAGGGATTGATAAAAAAACACAGTGGTATTGGCAACACTCTTTTTTCTCTTCAGCGCGTTCGTTTACTCCAAAATATATATGGTTGTTAGAAAGTTAGCTCGTTCCCAGCAAAACAAACTGCAAGACAATACCGCGGTAAACGATTTGACCAAAAAGAAAATATTTATGAGAGAACTTAAGCAAGTTCGAAGCTGTTTCATTGTTGTGTTATGTTTCTTTCTTCTCTGTTTCGTGCCTGTAATATTGACATATTTCGTGGGGGCACGTGTTGACAAATATGATCTTGCGACAATCCAAAACTGTGCTACAACTCTTGGAATGACTAATTCCAGCATTAATTCAATAATCTTCTTTTGGACAAAAACACTTTTTAAAAAAGAAGCTGTAAGGATTCTGAGGGACATTTGGTCGCCAAAAAAATGAAAATTTGTCACATTTCGTCATATTTTAAATGTTCCAGGATATATGCATGACAGTAGCTATACGTAGTTGATTATTGTATTGGCATATACTGTGTTATTTTTAATGTACTTCAAGTTTATACCTAGATTACTTCTATATTTACTTGATTAGAAGAAAAATATAATCTAGCAGGAATGCAAACCCTTTAGTTGGCAGGAAGTCATGCGACAATGCTCTATCTAACTCGTTATACCTAAACTTTGTACTATACTATCCATGCATGCACGCCCTTCTCTGGGATGTCTTTTTTGCTTCATATAGTTATATGTGCTATATAGCTATTGCACGAATCTGACTGTTTATTTTATAAGACTTAGTGATGCATTTAATTTTTTACTTTTTTATTTTTATGACGTAGTTTGAAGCAAAAAATGTTTCTGATTAGGCAATGCGCGGCCAGTCAGCCAATCAGAACACGCTTTAATTGTCCGTCACAGCCTAGACTTTTTATAAAAGAACGTGCATGTGCAAGTATATACGAGAATAAACGAATGTTATGAATATAGATATGAAAGTCAAACGATTTCTATCAGAGATATTGCGATTCTTAGCATGATGGAACACCACGATAAATATATCATCTGCGATTATATTCGAGAAGAATTTTACATGCATGAAGCGCAAAATAAAGTCATGCAGAATAATTATTCTGATTATGCCTTGATGTTAAAGTTTAAATAGTTTACCTCATTCACTTTAATTTCATCGTCCATATAGGGAACGTACATGAAAAACTTCATAAAATTTTATATTAAATTTTTCCAGCTTATCAGTTTCTGTAAACAAAATACGCACCACAGGAACAATGAATAACTACCACTTTTTAGTAATGCTTGCTTATAATAAAGAATACAAAAGAATGTGTACGATATTTAATAAAATAATACAATATTGGAAAATGATAATTTGAATCACATCTGATAAAGCGAGACAAGAGATAATTGCTGCTTTCCAGCTGTCTGCTTTTAGCTACTTTAGGGTGTTGCATGCATGTGTCCCCCAAGAGGAACTCATGTGCTCCGTATATATTGTGTCATGATCCTATATATATATAGCTATATATTTAAAACAAACTGAGGCTTTCGATAAAATGGTCAAGAAATTTCAAGACAAATATGCAGCCTTTGTCTTTCTTAGCTAACGCAAGTCATGGTTTCGGGTATATAGCTACATTTTGGGCGTTGAATTGAGTTTCATTAGTAGAAAATAATGACATGATATGTAATAAAGATAAACATTACCATGCCATATATACTGCTTGCACCTGTCTATATCAACAATAGCCATATATACTACTGCTTCCACCGGTCTATAGCTGTTTGGTTTAATGCTTTGTTACAATTTTTATCGGTTGTTGCGACTTCCATTTAGTAATATTGATTTACGAGTACTAGAAGAGATTGTTATATCTTAATATTTTACAAAATGTGCTTGGGAAATGTGTGCTTATAATTCCATATACTTTTTGAGTCGTTGATATGTTTGATTGGTTTGTTCAACTTAATCTCCCTAACGACCGGGGAATCATTGCAACATGAACCAGTCGGTGGAACAAGGAATAACTGAAATTTGCTTTATTTTTGGTCAAGAACATACCTTTATAAGGAAACTTCCATGGAGAAATCATCTGTTCAATCACATTCTCATTTTTGCCGTTAATGTTATGTTGATATTTCCGACTATTTTACTGAATGCTATTTCAGTAATTACTGTCTTGAAATCCTCTCAACTGAAAAACAAGCTGTGTTATTTTATTATCCTGATCCAATCGATGGCAGATTTAGCGGTTGGCATTTTAGGAATACCCTTATTTCTCGTGTTTCTCGCCTTTGGAATAGGAGGAATATCAAACTGCTATGTAGCAACTCTGGCATATAGATTATCGGTTCTACCAAGTGGAGTTTCCATTTTGACGCTATCTTCCTTGACGTTGGAAAGATACATCGCGGTGATTTATCCCTTGTCTTATAATAGTCAATTGACAAAAAAGAAAATTATGATCTACGTTTGTACAGGCGTCGTGGTAATGATATCAGTCGCCATTATTTCTATTGCGATTGAAGGATTGGTTAAAAAATTCACTGTGGTGTTGGCAGCACTCTTTTTCTCATCGAGCGCATTCGCTTACTCCAAAATATATATTGTTGTGAAAAGGTTGTCTCGGTCTCAGCGAAATAGATTGCAAGACGGTACGAGCGTAAAGGATTTAACACGAAAGAAAATATTTCTGAGAGAAGTGAAGCAAGTGCGAAGCTGTTTCATGGTTGTTCTATGTTTCTTTCTTCTCTGTTTCTTGCCAGTAATGTTGACATATTTCATAGATACAAGTGTTGACATATACGTACTTCAAACTATTCAGAACTGGTCTACCACCCTGACGATATCTAACTCTAGCATTAACTCAATCATCTTCTTTTGGACAAAAACAATGTTGAAGAATGAAGCCCTAAAGATCTTGAAGGCCATCTACTCACGTTAATTGTGACACCTTAATTTCTCCCGTTTGTCACTTTCTGCTACAATAGATCCTTCGTGTGTTCGAGTATATGTGGAATTCATTTATCCAGTGCATTTCTAGTGCATATATTAAATTCAGGATATCTGAAATGGCAGGAAAGGACTGGGACTAGCTATCGAATAAAAATCAATTTATCGGTTGAACCAACTTAAAATCTCTTGAAATATAATTATGTTTAGAGCGCTGATTGGCTGAAATATCTGATATGTAAACAAGTTCACCTTAATCGAACATTTATACTGTATATAGCTATAGAAATTTTAGTAAACATGGTTTAATAGTGTCCTCTATAATGAACCAAAGGCTAAAGTTATCTGAAAAACTGCAGTTTCAGGGGAAAACATTATTAATTCCAGGGCGAATTTACCTTCTCCATCTTTCTATTAACTTTTGTTGGTTTTTTTTGTTTTTATTACAATAGTGCATGCATGTGTAATTAGTTAAGGAAAGAATCAATTGTCCTTTTGCAAGATCATCCTTTCGTATTTAGGAATATTATGGCATGAAAGCCTAAGTTTGAATTTTTAAGAATTCATTTGTAACCGATTATTTTTGTGCCTGCAAGATATAAGTGCAGTCTTATCGATTTTTTAGATGTTTTAGATTTTTTACTGTTGAATATAGATCGAACAAGTCTAAAATACTTACTTCGGATTATCATGAATAGCTGTATAATGTTTCATTTATAAAACGTTTATCTAACTGCAGCCTTTTTTATATACCCCAGCTGTATAGCTGTATAAATAATTTAATGTAATAATGTATCTAAGTTATATATATATATATATATATATATATATATATATATATATATATAATTATATATATATATATATATATATCTATGCATGGACATGGACGTGCAGGCACCAATGCATAACTGATACAATTTCCTAGTTTCATCGAAAGTACTGCAGGTTATATTTAAGAAACAAACTGTATGTTCTTTTGAAATATACTGTATGTCTTAAATCTTAATTGCTTGAACCTGTCCTGAAAATCTAATAACGCAACTTTAAATCAATTCCAAGAAATCATTGAATTTCGTTTCATTCATGCGTGGTACTTATATTGAGCATTCCTTTAGTGTTGTTGAGAAATATTTCAACATCAAAGAAGAACGAATCAAATGGCCTCAGAGGTATATAAAGGAAAATACAATATATTGTGTTAATTTTCGTTGTATACATAGTCTCCTGTGTTTTTTTTGCCACCGAAGACGCGACAAAAGCTAACTATAGACGTTAAACACGGGACTCAAAAAAGATAATAACTGCAAGACCATGCAAGAATGAATTTCGAGCGATTATCTACTTATATTGTTATACTTTGGCAGCCATTTTGACCAGCAACATTCATAGAAAATGCGCTTAGCCCATCTATCAACACCTGTTTGTATTTAATCAACATTATAGCATACCATGATTCCTTCAAAAGCACTGTGTTAACCAGTCTCGTGCGGCGAGCCCGCGAACCCCTATAGCGAGGAAACGGAGACTCTGGGATAAACCAAATTGGAGGCTAGAAATTGATGTCTAAAAGAACGAATCATAAGCATGCACTTTTCACTATTGTTACAAAAAGCAAATCACAAAACTCGTTCATATTAGGTAGATACATGATTGCAGCCATTAATCATGTGGTTTACTAATGGATTACATGAATGAATCAAATGTTTTGGTTAATACTTTTAGGATCAAAGAGCAAGAGGAAAAATATTGTTTTGGTCGATGGCGTGCGTACACCATTCTTGGTTTCGGGTTCTGAGTAAGTATATATCCGTTTATTCGCATATAGCATTTCTCTTTTCAAGACAGGATTAACCAGAAACAGAATTAGGAATAATATTGTTGGCTTCTATGATACCTTGGACGAATTAAACTCCATTTAAGCACTTACTACATAGTTTAGAAACAACGAGTCCATTTTTACACACGAAATTTACAACAATTTGCCGAGAAAAGTTATTTGCCTGTATTTCTACTTTTTATACTATTATACTATTATTTATTTCTACTATACATGCATATAGCTTAATCATTCTTATACTTAATTTCTTGATTTTAATTGATACATGATTACATGATTATATTGTTTTTTTTTTATAAATTATGTTAGTCATGAGTTTAGGAAGAACAACTGTCTGTCGGAAAACTATACTCCCATGCATTGGTTGTAAATAGTGTCCCGCGTGTGGCCACTCTTTCAGTTATCAATTAAACAACAAGAACTATGTTTTCATTTTTAGTTACAAAGACATAATGGCTCATGATTTGGCTCGAGGTGCACTGCAGTAAGTAATTCACTTTTTCTGGAGCGACAGCAACACACTAATGTTGATTTTATATACCCCGTATGCATGCATGAAGGTCTTTCCACGGTGTATAGGTGGTTGTATTTTAAATGTGCATGATCTTTGACCTCTATTTTATTTTCTATCTTCACAGAGGCCTTTTGAAGCGAACTGGTTGTCCAAAAGGTTAGATTCATTTGTAAATACACATTTTGCAAAAAACTACTGGTCTATAAATACTTAGAATTGCAGCTGGAACATAACCATGCAGACTTCCGTTTATATTTGAAAAGCTATGGGAGGATGGAGGGAACAACCTTAGAAAAACGAAATATAGTTTTTGTTCACGATGGTTTTACCACCTAAAATCTGAGCAAAAAACTCAATTTTTACTATAAATACGAGATTGTATACGAGACCTATACTGTGTACCCGGTATATAGTTCGTTTTTACTTTTGTGCATGGCTGCATTTAGACCGCGTGTAACATAATATGTGCTAATATTCACCCGTAACAAGCCCTAGCAAACGGTCCCTGCCCCCTGTGGTTACATTTTTGATATGAGATCTTGGCCTTGGGAATCCATCGCGTACAATAAAACAATTTCTATAGCGTGAACAAGCTGCGTTTTACCGACATGTTTTTTTTCTATATGTATACTGTGTTTTTAACATTGATCGCTAAATTAAAACTGTTTGCCCTTTTAGACGTTGTCGATTACATTGTGTTTGGTACTGTCATTCAAGAAGTGAAGACAAGCAACGTAGCTAGAGAAGTGAGGGCGCAGTAAAATGTTGTGAAACATTTACAGTATAACGGCGTAATAATAACCAGACATTGCCAGTTTTTGGGCCGCTTTGCTGCTTTTTTGAAATATTGCATATGTTTACACGTTTATTTTAATAAACGTGTAAACATATGCAATATTTGCAAGAGTTTATCAAGAGTTATTTGCGAGTTTCCTTGTTTAAAAACACATTTGTTATTCTTAGGCTGCCTTAGGTGCAGGATTTTCCGACAAGATTCCTGCTCATACCGTCACAATGGCGTGCATATCGTCAAATCAATCAATCACGTCAGGTAAGAATTAATTTGCTTTGAATCGGTAGAATGGAGAAATACCATGACCAGAAACCAGCTGATCTGAGTTGACGACATCACAAGGCGCGAGGAGTAGTTACTATATCATGTGCCAGAAACTGTATCACATGCAAAATCGAATTTACAATTGGCAGAATTACTAAATTCATTTTTTCGAGGCTCTGGTTTCTGATTGGCTCATTTTTGTTCTCAGCTCAGCGTGTAGTATGTGGTTGCATATATTTGCATTTCTAAATATATGACTTCATCAGATGTATTTTTCAAATAATAGCGCCATGTTGTGAATCTAACAAAAAAGACAGCTGTTGCCTGTTCGCATTTTTTGTATAACTTAATTTCGATCTAAGCAGGAGGAACGGAATCCAACATCACAAAATTTTCGTTTCTAGATAGTAATTATGCATGAAAAATAAGGCTGCACATAACATGTGTCTCCTGTTTTCAGCAATGGGACTACTAGCCAGTGGTGGAGCGGATGCAGTCATTGCTGGTGGTGTTGAAACTATGTCTGATGTGCCAATCAGAGTAAATCGCTCCTTGAGAAAGATATTGCTGTCTTTGAACAAAGCCAAGACATTGGGTGCAAGATTGGGTTTACTTTCCTCTATTAGACCAAAACATTTTTCACCTGAGGTATGATAACTACTAATAGTGAGATTATAAGCATGGGGACGTGGAATCAAAGACGACGTGGCGAGTGAATGGTGTGATATGCATGCACCTATATATATACATGCCACGCCATTTATTCGCCATTTTCACGTCGTCTTTGACGTTCACGATCCCATGCTAAATCTCCCTTTTGACTAATGTATGACGCCTTCAATCTGGTAGCAAGTAGATCTAATTTTCTACTAATTTACTAATAGTAATAAGCAAATTCCTTAAAAACAACACCACGTGTAGGCCAGGTGTAGGTAAACAAATTTCAATTCACATGTACATTTCACCAACATGCCTTACGACGCCATCTTTTTTACTACGATGGATTGTTAATTGTCTTCAATTTACTTTTTTTCAAACAAATGAAAGTTGCAGGTTGTCCTTCCTTATACTGTTCGAATTTACTATAGCATTTTTTATATCACCCGTATATCTCGTGTATGATTTTATTGCAATACGAAATGTCCGTTCCAACCTTACCTGTATGCTGTTTTACAGCTACCAGCTGTGGCTGAGTTCTCCACCAACGAAACAATGGGACACAGCGGTGACAGGTATTGCTCTACGTTACGACTGCTCTCGTGCAAATGTCGTCACATCTTCTTCTAGCCTTTGCATGACCTTTGAATACTAGAATTTTTCATTCAATTGTAGATTCTGTTCATGACTTTTTAAAGTAATGCGTATATATTTTATTGATAGGCTTTGTGCATCATTTGGTGTGACACGAAAAGAGCAGGTATGTGGGGGAAATATTCCAAATATTTTCTTACCATGCATGACAGTATGCATGACACCAAGGGAAACAGTGTTGTATATTTTTACAACTGGGACACCAAGGGAAACAGTGTTGTATATTTTTACAACTTGGGGGATTGAAGTAAATCGGAAATGAATGAGTTTCTCGTTTATGTGTTTTCACTGAAAACGATTTAGAAACGGATTTTTCAAAAAGGATTTTTTGACACAGTCTATGGATTAATATGCACAATGAGACATTTACGGGTACTTAGGGACAGTCTACAAGTTCATGCGGTAATTTTACAGACATGTATGCAGCAACACCATCCACTTAGCCCAGGTATAACGGTAATTACAATTTTTTTTTATATTTATAGGACGAGTTTGCCCTGCGATCACATACCTTGGCTGATCAAGCAACGAAGGTAAATGCATGTTGATACTTATAGCAACATATTGAACTGGAGCAGTTTCATTTCTTTTCATTGAATTAATTTATTTCAATGTCGTGAGATTCAGCGCGTGGTTACGTTGTATACCTCATTGCAATTTTGCCATATCTACTGTCGTGGGACGAAGCATGGTTGGCTCATCTGAAGCCTAGTTCCATTTTGCCGTAATTATTGACTGCATGTGTTCATAAGTCATCTTTACGAATGTGAATTTATTGATTATTTTAGGCTGGTAATCTGTCTGATTTATTGGACTACAAAGTGCCAGGTATTAAAGGGAATTTCTACATGCACACAGGCTACATTATCATCCGATGATGGAAAATTCGAGACCCTTTGCTTCTTGTTAATTAACCTTTAACAGCTTTTCGCAGATGTCACAACAGTGCGAATTAATTAACTGGCTTTTTAACATCCGAAGTTTAACCAATTCCCAAATTTCTCATGTACCAAAAATTTACCGCAACAAGTTCCATGCATGCATGGGTTCCCACCAGGATTTGAATCTTATTAGCATTTAGTTAACGGGGAGCGTCCATGTATCTAATAGGATGAAACGGTATAGGTTTCTGAGAACAGCTATTCCAAAGACAACCACAATAAGTGGAAAGCTTTGCTGCATGTGCATGCTAATAACTAGATAATAGACATTAAATATAGGAATAACACATGAAATTCAATTTCTCCACAAGGCAAACCTGTTATTGTAAGCAAAGACAACGGTATCCGTGTTTCCTCGTTAGAGAATATGGCAAAACTGCGACCAGCATTTGTCAGACCTTATGGAACCGTTACTGCGGCAAATGCTTCATTTCTGGTAAGGCTAAATTCTGGTTACAGCTCGAATCGCTATATATATTCTGGGCGTATAATGTGGCCGAGTGTTAAAAGCCGCATATAGTAAACTAGGAATTAACATGGTAACATCGTCGAATTGTGTGTTGGGTCAATAAGCGTTCTATTTTATACTTTCTATTTTAAATGCTTCCAATATTTTTAGTTTGGCAATATAAATCATCACTTAACATAATATTTCTCACATCGTAAAATTACAAAGAAAATCAGCGCTGGGTATAATTAATGACTGAGCGTTTAAGCATACAGCACCAAAAAATGTTTTAATAAGTTTTCTCCTGTACAGTTATTACGCGAACGAAAGGTATAGCTATTTGTCGATCAGCTCTTGTTCGGAAGAGTAAAAAACATTTTGAATAATTGTGTAGAATGATCGTATAATTGTCATTCTTTTCAGTAACTATCAACATGAAAGCCTCGATTCAGTATAAATGATTGTATTTGTGTTTGTTTTTAGACTGATGGTGCATCTGCGTGCCTTCTTATGACAGAAGAGAAAGCACTCGCGTTAGGTCTTAAACCAAAAGCATATCTGAGGTAATCATATACAACGTCCTGTACAACAATCCTGCTTGTAGTTATATATTGTATCCGTCAAGGTTCCAAGCAAAAAACGTTCTGTAGCATGTTGTGTATTTTTGTTCCTTCAAACAAGCGCCTAAACCTGTAGACATGAATGTATGCATGTAATATTGTAACCTATGTATAATATTGGGGGATTCGGTGAACGGAATGAAACAGGCATAAATTTTCCCAACGAATTGTTGTGCGATCGTATTGATTATATCTATATAAGTTAATATTGTGATGTTGCTACTCTGAGTAACCAACCTTGCAGGCTAAAAAAATCATCTTGATTGTGCCGTTGGCTACTCGGAGTAGAATTAAACATCACAATATTAATCCATTCACCTGAGTCATTGTTAGTAAGAGTTTCTTCACTACACACAAATTAATTGGCACTATATTGGCTGATCTGGATTCTCTTAACATTTTGTTAATTTCAGGGAATATGTTTACGTATCTCAAGACCCAAAAGATCAACTTCTGCTTGGGTAAGCTTTGCGATATTTTCTAAAAATGCATAATAAAGCATTCCCGGCCAGTATTTATTACTCACGTGTGATCACGGAACGTTTTCTTCATGTAGACCAGCTTATGCAACCCCTAAGGTTTTGGAAAAAGCATCTCTAAAGTTGACAGATATTGATGTGTTTGAGTACCATGAAGCGTTCGCTGTAAGTACACACGTTGAAATATTTTGTATCACTAACTCAAGCGTTTCCGCCGTTTACTATTCTCCTATCTGCCGCAAGAAGACACAAGTAAAGTCCGCGGTTTTCCTTTTGCCTTCTTTGCCTGTTATTTCTGCATCCTGGCGCATGCGTGATACGTTTGACCGCTGTAGATTTAAGCTCATTTTGAGTATTTGACAGATCATACACAAGGTTGACTTTTTTAAAAAACGGCAATAATAAGCTATTTGGGTTTCATTGGTTTTGGTACAATTATGGAATGCCAGGCCAATAGTGTATTATGTTAAAGATCTGTTAGAGGGATCAATGTTAGTGTATGGAACTGCCGGCCCCGTTCTTTAAACATAGTGTTTTGTTTATTCCTGTCCTGTGAAAGTCCAATTCATACATAAGGTCAAGGAACATAACTGCATGACAAGGTAGTTCGATATGGCATTCACTGTTAAGAGTTGGGTTGGCGATGTATTCTATCATTGCTCCTTGGTTTTGTCGCATATACGTTGATTTATTTATTTTAATATTTTTCTTAAACGTTAGGGACAAGTCTTGTCTAATTTGAAAGCGATGGATTCAGATTGGTTTGGCAAAAATTATATGGGAAGAAAAGAAAAGGTAACCACGCATTTAATACATACAATTGTATGATGAGAAGAAATATGCCGTGAATGCCGTAAAATGAATAGAAATAGCAACAACGAAGAATCAAAATAATTTTAAATTATTATGAAAGAAATATTAAGGTGGCCATAGATGAATAGGAAAAACTTAAACTCTAGACAATATAACTTATTTTATGGCTTTGAAAAGTTTTTGAACTGAATGTTTTATAAATGAGGATAACTCGTATTCAAAATGAGGTCACGCAAATTTGAAAAGGCCGGGGCGTGCATATTTCTTTGTAACCGTCTCTATCTCAAAGATTATGGAAGCCTGCATGTAAACAGTGCTTATAATTGTGCTCTCAATGTTCTTCCAGTAAGCAGAGCCGTAGCTAGACCGCTTAATTGGGGGGGGTGGGGTATATTCATATATTACATGCTTATCTACCAAGGGAACAAAAGCGTACAAAAGAAATCAGTCGGGCATAACTCATAAGATGAATTCCCCCCCAGAATTAACTAAAAAGTATTTTCTACTGTCATTCCCATTACTTTACGTTTTCCTCTGGATTACAACACATCTTATCAAGTCTTAACTTTTGTTGTTCAACGACGTAGGTTGGCACGATTCCTATGGATAAGTTGAACACGTGGGGAGGATCACTTTCCATTGGTCATCCGTTCGGCGCTACGGGTGTACGTCTTGTTACAACCGCCGCCAACAGGTTGAACAGTGAAGATGGAAAATATGCTTTGGTTGCTGCTTGCGCTGCTGGTGGACAGGTATGTTGCACTTTAGATAAACAGAGCGAAATTAAGCGTGCTTAAAAATGAACATTGGGGAAACTCCAGGCCATACACAGGTCTACTTCGTCGAATTTTTCTAATTATAGTTGGAATTTTTAATAGTTTAAGTATTTCGGTGGAATAATGTTTGAGGGATATAAAAACCGTGATTACCATGCACGGAATTATTTAATCCTGGTATTTGTTATCAGTATCAAAAACTGCCTATCTATATCTATATCCATGCAAAATGCGATCAAAATAAAATACGGCCATAGGCCTATAGATTTGTTTAATCAAAGTTTAGTCATTTTGTGTAGTCGACCGATCACAAATCGCGTTTCAGCAACTTCAACTTGGTGATTTCTATTCACGAAATTGTTCAATTATGCATTTTAGGGCCATGGGATGGTGGTGGAGAGATACGCTTCGTAACCTGTGACAGTGACGTCGAATTTGAACTGTGCATGATGTATAGCGTGCTTATCATGTATGCATGCACTAGTATTTTTACACAATACTTCTGTACAAAATAAATCTTTGAATAAGTCTTTGCACTTGACGATGCAGGATCTTTATGGTCAATTTGTGGTGAAATAAAATATAGTGACACACAATATTCTTTGGGGGAATCATATACCAAAGTGAGAAAAAAAAAGAAGAAACGAATGTTAGCTAATGAGTACCAGTAAAGTACAATGACGTCACGCACCATGGAGACATATCGTATAGGATATATCAAACCTCGCTTCTGCTCGCAGCATTTTGTTTCACGAGTTTGTTTAACAATTTGCAGCTATTATTTTTAGAGTTTTGGAGTGGCAGATGGTTTCGCGATGTTCTGCATGTCAAAAGGTCTTCGCCCAAACCAAACCCAAAACCAAATTAATATAAATCGAAATACGAAATTAAAATTCCTGGAACATTTCCAGAAGAAAACCTATTCGCATATAAATGCCGGAAAGAATAGAATAGTTGAATGTTTTAAAGCATTTCGCCACGTGAATGCTAAGCATGTAGTCGTTTTCTGAATTTGTTGAAGTGTTTTTTGAAGTGAGTTCTTTGAAGTAATTACTAAATTTTACGAATAGCGATATATTCTCAGGTTTAATGCACCTTCACAGATCACAAAGGGGTATCATTTGGCGTGGGTAGAAAATCCTGGCTTGCGAGGTTGTCATTTGCTTTGCTAATTTTTGCAATTTCGTATGCCATTTTCTTATTTCTGTGCAACATCGACCTCGTACTAGGATCAAAGAATAACGAGAGTAATAGAAGAGCCACTTGAGTTGGAACCTTTTGATGTGAATATAGTTGCGCATTTTCGCATTAATGACATTTTCTGCCGAAAAACACGTTGTACTGGGACGTGGCAAGCAGGATTCTAGGTGTAATATTTTGGTGAATATTCCGGACAAAGAAAAGAAACGCAAACTCAAAATCCCACAACAAAATTACAAAATAAATTATGGAACAATTGAAAATTTAAAATGACTACAATGTTCTAATCTAAGTTTTTAAACTTGTGTTTAAAAATTTAAGTGTATAATAAGTGTATATTTCACAGCAAACAGTGCCTCTCGCCTACACGCAAGTTGATATGATCCAACCAAGCCTCAGCTCCCTTCACTCGTATTGTGCAGAAAAATGCTATAAATGTATGACTACAAGCCTGGTTTCCATTTAATCGTAATAATCGTGAACACGTCAAATGGGTGACGTGATAGAATTTTTGTACGTGTGTTCAGTGAAAAAACAGAGAAAAAACACAAATTTACATGCATCCGTACTATTTTTCATTAGTAAAAATGACCTACGAGAATTACGACAAAATGGAACCAGGCTATAACATATTATTTCCATTATATTCCCATTGCATGTGCTTTATCAATTTAATTCTTACGTTGGACAAATCTTCGTGCGTCACATTTCAAAACCATTAAATTCATAGAAACTTGGACCTAAAAGAACAGTGAAGTTTCAGTTCTTAGACTGTCCCCAGTTTTGCGTTGTCCTCATATGCCTATTTAAATATTTTCTTGTGAAAATTTCGTAAAAAATTACTGAAAAAAATCCTTCGAAATAAATAGTAGGCTTCACTCGTTATCCAACGGGTATATATGTCTCTTTAGGGTAAAGTTACCTTCCGGGGGGAATGACCGATTGATAGTGATCATTATAGAAGGATGCATTGTTCAAGGAATTCTATTTTTAGTGCAAAAAGAAAAGCGTCATCTTTTTCACGCACGTCAGTTCAAGTCTATTCCGATCGACGCGATAAGATTAAAATATATTCGTTAACGCGCACTTCATTATATAACTGACCTAAAATGTTTTCGTATAGAAGAATTACCTTATCAAATGTATAAAACGTCCTAACAGAAATTGTCTATTTCCATCCAACTGCACTACTTTCCAAGATTGCGATAAGAATGATAGAAAATATGTAGCAGAAACCGACGGGAATGACTTTCCATAACTAAAGAGAGAAAACAAAACAACTGAATTAAATCGTAATTATGCGATATAAAATGACAGGTAAACTATACGCGTCAACATTCAGAAGGATCAGCAGAAGTAATCGAATTAAATATATTTTGATTTGGACTGGTATACGATTGCCAAATAGCACGTTCAATTCTTTTCTTCAGCAAAAAATGGCAGGACGTCAACATTAGTATAATAATTAAACAAAATTTAGCTCAACCGCGTAAAGCAAGCGTAATATGTAGCTATCAACCGGTTATATTTGTGAATTGTGATAAAAAGTACTGTACTATTGCATGACAACGTGACGCAAATTTCAAGATGTGCGCTGTTGTTCACCAATATTACACATCTCTTTAGACTGCTGTTTGTTTCAAGTACGTCATAATAAATCTTAGTGCAAAGCCAGCGAAAGTCAAGAACTCTCAATTCTGGAAATCAAAGATTTCAAATTCCTCAAATTTTCATTGTTTAAAATTTAGACCAACAAAGGCATGCAAAATGTACGGAAAACTAAGTTATAATGTCATGTATTGATTTAGAGTTACGAACGAAAAACGCGATGGTGGCAAGAAGCCCGAGCAGGCTAGAAATATATACAATGGATAAACGACCGATTCGAAGTTACAATAAGTACCTTATAAGTCAACGGGAAACCCATGATAAACACGAACCATTGCACAAGCAAAATCACCGTGACCTCTGTGATGAAAAAATAGTGGAAGAGATCAAAGATCTGGTGCACCAGAAATACATCTTACAAACAATAGTGATAATATTAATAGCTCTAAATCGACAGAGAAGCGAAAATGCTTGATGATCATGATATGCATGCATCACAGTTAATAGAATATACATGGTTTGGAGACCACATAAAACTACAATACAACTCGATAACTAGGTTTATTCATGCAAAAAAATGTACCTTTCTCATCACATGTCTATGGTATTTTGCACAGATAAACCAATAGCAATCTTTTAATTAACATATTTTTCAAGTCAAGGTTGAGGAGCTTAGCAAGACGAATGCAATTGGTACGTTTGGCTAAAATACAATAGACACGTGACGAGAAAGGAACCATTTTTTGCATAAACCTGGGGCAGGTTGTTCAAAAGGCGTTTAGATAAACGGTGGATAAGTTCAAAATGGAAAATAAAATCATCTATTTATTGTCATTGAACAACTGAGCTGAAACATTTCGATGTAAATTGTTTAATTGTCAATGGAAGTACATATTTAATGCATAAGATGCGGGTTCAGTCATTTACAAGATCTATGAGAGCATTTTTAAACTTTGGCTTATCCACTGTTTAGCTATAAACGCCTTTCGAACAACCGGCCCTAGGACAATAACATAGTTAATGAGTTGTATTATACTTTTATTAACTGTGCATGCATGTAATGGCAATTCAAATGAGCAAATGATTTACGTCAGACGAAAGACGTTCAGTATATTGACATTCTTTTGAAGGACAAACATAAAAAAGGTTATTTTCTTCCTTGCATGCGATAACAGTTTACGTCATTTGATACTTTTACTTTTATAGTAGTATTCCGACGAAATGTACATCATGGATTACTGTATCTGTTCCATTTCAAAGACCGCGGAGCTGTTTAAAAGTGGCTAAAACGGGCTAAAAAAATATTAAACCTGTCAAACTTACCTGCGGAGTAATACCACTCAAGGTCTTTGATATAGACCAACGCACAGAAGATGCCTAAACACAGAGTGTTGTTCATTGTTGCTGCCCCATACAACTATAAATAAAGAGAATATTATTGATGCTTTGCAACCTTCCTGATAAGAGCTCCGACAATCAGCCAAATAGGTTAATTTTATAAAGTTTTAAGAAGCGTGAAGTATGAAAATTTAAATCAAATCAAATTAGTCAACTTATCTCGAATACCACCGCGAAAGGGGCATGTTACGCGCCTTCAGTCTTACTGTATATATAAATTCTTTCCCCGCGAAGTAAGGGCGAAAGGCACCGCAGGAAAGAAGAATGAAAAAAGCGTGCAAAAACTTCAAATTAATAGGAAATATAGGTAAGAATTTTTCTTTCACACCACCTTAGATAATGGTTGGTAATTATATTTTGTATCAGTATTGGCTTGGCGAAAACCCTAGGGAGATCATTGCAAACGACGAAATGAGTTACATCTTATCGAGTCTATCCGGTTTTTCCCGATGCTAATGTTTTATGAAGAATCCGCTAGTGCATGAACGCAATAAATATATACAGTCAAGCTTCGTGCAGGCAATACGCCAATCTTTACGTGGAGAAATGTTTGCCAACAATAAAATCTCTCACCTGAGAGAAAGTCATGGACACATTCTCTTTCTTCTTCTTGGCAGCAAAGAGAAGGGAAGAGACCAGCTCGGACGCGTTGGAACATATCGGTGTGACGACAAACGACACGTAGAACGCTTGAAAAATAGTTTAAAATTTTCTATTAACCAATCATTTTGTGCCACTTTGGTGACATGTGTGTCCTCTCACGGACGCTCAGTGCCTAAATTCCCTTAAATCTATATAACGAAGATCTATCGGATCACTTTTTAAAATACGTTTTTAGAGACGGTGGTTATATAGGAATATGCATCCTAGTTCAAATCTAGCCTGAAATAATCCTAGAGTAGATCCTTGAAGGCTGGATTAAAAAGAATGTGAACGATTCGGAGGTTGAGTCATGGGATGAATGTGGATCGCTATATTGGCATCACTGTTTATTAACTATTTAAAAGGGCCTTCGCATGATTGTTTTCTTAGACACCGTTTACACTAGAACGAATTCACAGTTTCGGAATTCATCACGAAAGCGAAATGTTTTAGTACCGGATTAATGTTGCTGTTTACACACGCAGCAACGAATCCGATAGAAAATGTACTCGGTTTTATATAAGCCGTATCCGGAAACTTTGAATCCGTAAAAGTTTGTGGAAACTTCGTATCCAGAAACATTTGAATCCGGAAAATTTTCTTGTGTAAACGCTTTGTACGACGAATCCGAAGAAATTCAATATGGCGGACCAAACAATTCTCCAAGAACAAGTAATGTGAGTGTAAACGGACAAATCCGCATACAGAGACAACTAAAGTGTAGTGTAAACACCTGACGAATCCGATACATGTGTGTAACAATGAATCCGGATAACTTTAACAAATCCGGAAACTTTCGTTCTAGTGTAAACGGGGTCTTAGTAACGGCTCTCAAACAGAATAAACGATAATTGCGCAAAATTAATCGTATTAATTCTCAAAACGCTTTTAAATATACACATACGACTTATGTTGATGTAGCTGCCACCATTGTCTGCATTGGCTGAATCCGTAATACCACTTAGAACATCGCACATTGGATCAGAAAAAATCGTCACCTAGCAAAAAAGTTAACGTACAAAATATTTTGATTTTATTTATAGTGAAAGTAACTGGTATAAAAAAATTGTTTTGAAGAAAATAAAATACAAAAACAAATTACAAAAAATGCGCTTACCATGGCAACACCAACAGCCAACATGAGGAAACATTTAATTGCGACAAACGTTTTGTTCTCCTCTTTATCCGCGGCCTATATTAAATGAAAGGAATCAAATCACTAAGATCGAGGTAGAGGGTCTTCGTAATCTTTAATAAAACTTGCAATAATCTGCATGACCTCATTATTTCCACTTAATAAATACACTGAACTTAACCACAGTCAAATCATGCATGACCATTCGTGCCACAAACAACTTACTGTACGTAAGATTATAGGGGTAAAATACTCAAAACTGTCTCCTGATTCGATAAGAAAGGCTTGAAGGACATTGGCAATAAAAATTAACTTCGTCTTATTTTAAAGAGACATTCAGTATATTGCAAAATCTTTTTACAGATTTGCTATATCGTTCTTCGTTGATAGAATATGCCGCTCATTTCTAGCAATAATAATGGTACATTCCGCCTTCTTAGATATATGCATGGATATACATCATAGGTTATGCATGACGTCACAACCAGGGTAAAATTTTGATTTTATTATTAGCGTTTCTCGTGCCTTGTAGATCATGTTAAATACTAATTCATCGGTAATGTTTTTAATTTACTCATACGCTTGCTATACAAGAGCTTTCATTTGTATTCAAACGATTTGCGCGCGTTTATAATTTTTTCCCTGCATGGTTGCGACGTCATTTAATTAGATCTATTCAACTAAGCTAGATATGAAAAATTGATGATAAAACTTAATATATAGCTTTCGGAGTTCTTTTTAATAAGACAAAGTTAATTTTTATGGCCAATGTCCTTTAACACAATACTTTTCAGGGGCCGGTTGTGCGAAGGCTGGATAGCGCTATCCACCGAATAGTGATTATTTTCAATAGAAAAAGCAATAGAATTGCAGCTTTGGAGCTAATAATTATTAAAGAAGATCCCCAATTTAAGAAAACGAAGGTTTAATCAAAGTTATACCTAAACAATGGGCAATTTTAGAGCAATTGAAAAAAATCACTATCCGGTGGATAACGCTATCCAGCCTTCGTACAACCGGCCCCCGTACGACCTGTAACATCGCTAACGTATGGGCCATTTTTTTTTCCCATGCAGGTTAAGTTATTTTTCTACTAATAAATATTTTGTGTCGCTACCTCTTCCAACTCGTCTTCAGCTTCTTTATCGATGATGGGATCTTTATCAGTTGGTTCTCTTGTTTTAATGTCCTTACCAATCTGCCACGTTTTGAAATATTTCTTCTGTAGTCCCACTGCAGTAAAAGGAATAAATAGAAGAAGAAACGTTCGAGAACACCCATCTGACAATTCAGGACAAAAACATTGCCAAATGGAGAATTTTTCAAGGCATTTACCCCTGTAGGCCCTGTGCTTGCCCCAGTAGTGAGCCTAGTTTTCTTATAGCATGGGCCCTTCTGTCACAGCAAATAATTTAAAAATCTTTTTCATGAAATGTGCAGCCATGTGTTTGCTGTAATACAACTATATTGACTCGGCTTGCAGGCTAATTATCATGCCATAAGCATAGTTATGACAATCAAAGTTACAATATACAGTGTGTGAGTGTATGTGTTTAATAGGTTTTGTTACTGTTGTGTTTTTTCTGTCTAGCGTGCACAAGGACCCGATCGATACTCATTTTACCCCAGTAGGCGAGATTTCTTAAAAAATGCCCTGGAACTTTCAAAAGCAATTTTACACAGCTTGTATACGCGGAATGTTTTGAGTTGTAGTCATGCATGCACATATTTTAATATGATTAAAATCGATTTTTATTTTTTTGCAAAAACTAATATAAAACAAATAGGAATAAACTTTACTGAGGAGGATAACTTAAATAATGTGTGAACTTAATGCGACTTTTGTAGTGAAAGTCTACAAACCAATATAGGCTCGTTGCACGGTACAACCTCAAGTTTTTGCTCCCAGCTACAAAAATCACTCACCTGAAGCTTGTCTCTGAGCTTCGGGATCTGACGGCTCCCCACCGGCATCCGTTGAGTCACGAGGACCACCGAAGATGTTGCGATTAGCAATGCCATAGAAACGATGAATTACGCGACGACGAATTCTGCAAACAATAGAAGTTAATGTTAGTTCGAAAATGATGCGAGTGTTGCGCCATTCTGGTGAAGGATGGAACTTCTTGATGAGCAGTAGCTACCAAGATCAGGTTTCTAATTTTGTAAAAACCTTCGACAGAGAGGGTAATAAGTACAGATATCCTGACAATAAGGTTTTTTAATGGAAAGCACAAACTCGGATGAATTGGTCAAGCAACTCAACCGGCTTGTCAAAAGACGGGAATGATCAGGAAAATGATACCATGCGTCTCATCAATCCCCGCATGCGCGCAACATATCACTCAAATACGTGAATGACACGGGCTACCGGTATCTGCATTACAAATTATACGTCACATTATTCGAGAAGAAAAGGGGAAGAATGGATAAAACCTTCCCTCCCTTTGTAATGCAATAAACATCACCTTATATAGCCCCGTTATTATAGTCAACGTACTGCAGTCACCGAGTTCAAACATGTGCACTTGGTGAAAGGGAAAAATTATTTGAAACGGTCCAGGAGGAGATTTACTTTCCCGCGCTTTCTGCTAAAGTTGGCGATACTCTTTACACATTTACGGAAGCGCGTAGACAAAAAGGAAAAGATAAAATACAAAACTGGATGTACAGTAGTTCATCATCATTTCACGATAAACCTCGGTGATAAGAACAATCAGCCAATTATATTCGCCACCGTCCTAAAAGATTATGAAGCATGCTGTACTATACTCACTCCTCCTGTCTGTGTTTCGATGCCCTCAATTGAGCTGTCTTGCTGTCGTACACCTAAATGAAATTATTCAAGAAATAATGTTCAAGAAATTATTTATAGCATCGCTTTTCCATCGAAACAACCTTCACACGAGAATTATGAATAAATGTGGGCTCATGGGACCGGTTTAAAATTTTTTTGAATGAACTTTCCTTATTCGGTGAATAGAAATATTTCTCTTTTTTATTTAACCGATTTAAGAAATAGAAAACATTTTCCGTGTTTCTATACAGTTATAGAAACACGCGTGGGAGTTTGGGAGAACGAGAAATAATCAGTGGGAAAACGAGCCCGTATACAGTAGGGCGAGTTTTTCCACGTTATTTCGAGTTCTCCCAAACTCCCACAAGTGTTTCTATAACTGTATAGAAACACAGGAAAAAATGTTTTCTATTTCTTTTATAATATAACTCAATAAAAAGATTTTGTACAAATATTATAATTCGATTCAATTACAAATTCTCATTACATCGCTTCGCTTGTCAAGTTCGGCGGGAAAATTCCCGTGTTTCTATACAGTTATAGAAACACGCTTCTCGACCAATCAGCACGCGCGTACTATAAATGTTATATTATAAAAAATATTTGTCAATATTAATTTGCTCCCACCCTGCACCTGTCATGGATAATGACTGCCTGGAGTAGTTTACACCCCTCTCTTGTTCTCGTATACCCCTTCAAATAACAGACCGACAATAAAACAATATTCATCGACGTGTTTTAACTTACCAAGAAGAGAAGGTAGGCAACAAAAGATACGGCGCACAAAATGAGGGTCGCCAACGCAGAATTTTTTACATACTTTGGTTGACTATCGTCACCAGAATCAGGACTTTTCTTTGGACCCCAGTGCCAGTCAGCACTTTGAACAATACTGCAATAACGTACGTAACAATACAAGTCAGAACAAATGCACAGGACACAATGAACAATAATTCAAACTTACAGATAAAGAAGTGAGGTAATAAGCATAATAATTGAAGATTTCTGCACTGAAGGAAGGAGAGTTACGCCCTGAAATAAAAAATAGAAAGAACTATTAATCGCACATGCAAATGAAGCATATTTTTTACTGAAACTAAAGCAGAGTCTTAAATTCGGTCTGTTTTTTTTTAATCATGAGATTTGTTCTCCAACGCAGTCAATCTTAATTTTGGCCAATCGAAATAAATCGTGATCGCATGTGACATATTTGTGACCATCTTATTGGCGTTCAGCGGCTCATTCAACTTCTTGGTTTTTTTGTGCTGCATCAGCTGTGGGTGCATGAGGACTGTTTTCTGCCATACGACACGTTACGTTAACAGTTAATAATAGGGAGATTTAGCATGAAGATGCGAACGTCAAAGACGACGTGAAAATGGCGAGTAAATGGCGTGGGATGTCTTGCATATTTGGGCGCATCACGCCATTTATTTGCCTTTTTCACGTCGTTTTTGACGTTCACGTCCTCGTTTTAAATTGCCCTAATAGTGCGTTTTATTACTCGATCGAAGCTAAACGACTGCACGCATATTCTTTATAGGCATATTCTGGAATTCAAAACAATGGACTGAAGAGATGATAAACGTCATTGAGCTTCACTATCATCTCAATATCCAATCTCGTACCCAGGATAGACCCTAGGTTGCTCAATACCATTTATCGATGAATTGCATTCGACGAGACCAACATGCCATATATATAAATAGGGCTAACATTAACATTATACCTGTTTCCTGCATTTAATTCCCTTTCCAGTCTCTTCAATTGCTTCACCATTGCTATTAAGGTCGCATCTTCCGAGAAACAGACTTCCACCCCAGGCAATTGTCAACAACATGATCGTGCTGCCAGCAAGGGTCCTAAATTAAGGTAGGTATAGGTTAATATTTTACAACGAAAATTATCTATACAATATCTAAAGTCTGTATAAGAAATTATGCACTTCCACAAAATGAAGCCTAGTCATCATTCTTTGGACAAATTTCCTTGTCCGTGGCGGGACTTACGCTACATGGCTATACTGTTAGATTATACTTTATCATGTTTGAAATATAGGTACGTAAATAGCATGTGGAATATTAGGATACCAAGTACACTGACACTGTACTATTTTCCTTACCCCATACCAACCGATATCTGTTCCTGCGCATTTGGTTTCAAGCCAGAAACGATAATGATAGCAGAATCAGGTACAGCTCCAAGCAAAGGCAGAACAATACCGCCTAACATAAAAAATGTTCCTTAGTAAAGGCAGGCCTAACATAATATAGCTTCAAATGTGATATATAACAAATGCCTGAAGTAGACAGAAACGTTCCAGACGTTCCGACCTAGAGGCCGTCAGGAGAAAAACAACTCTCCTGAGGAAGCTGGGCCCCTATAGCCATAGGTCGAAACGTCGTACATTTGAAACATATACTATATTCGAAGCGAAGTTGTTTGAAGACACTGCCATGCACGCTGCTTTCTGGTTATATTGGAACATATTTGTAAATTAAGCATGGTTTAGTGTACGATCTGACGAAAAAATATGGACGAGTCCGAAACACATATTGTTAGTTATAAATTACTCGCGCTCTTTGAGAATATCAAGATTCTTTAACTGTTTTAAAATAATTATTTAGGCCAGGGCCATAGCTAGACCACTTATAATTGGGAGGAGGTGTGTACTCCCCCCCCCCCACTGGCTGCGGTAACTTATTTTTTATGCCTATCCGATTACATATGCCTATTATTGGCGAATTCATTCTATTCATAACGTAGCTAGTAACGTTTACAAGGCAATTTTTCGTGCCATACTGCTTCATTAGTTTTGCGTTATATAGTCCGAGGCAAATTATAATATATCAAAAACATTCAATAAGTAGCTATACAGGGTGTCTCAAAAAAAACGCAACCACTTAAATATGCAAGAACATTAATACAGCTCTAAAGCGCGATGGATAAGCACCTCTGGGAATGGACCACTTGCGCTTTAGACTAACTTTTGATCGAAGTAATAAGAAGAAAATAAATCACCACAGCTAAAAAGAGCGTACTTAAATTAGTGCAAATGCAAAGTTTGGCTGCGAAATCTTGTAAAATATGGAAAATACAGCCATGCGAAGTTGGCAAATTTTGTATACTTTTGTATTACGTGCGGAAATGTGTAACTAATTTAGTTACACACTTCCGGTCGTAATACAAAAGTATACAAAAATCGACAACTTCGCGTGGCTATATTTTCCGTAATTTACAACAATTTCCAGCCAAACTTGGCATTTTTACTAATTTTAGTATGCTCTTTCAGAAAATGTCCTTTTTAAAGCCGAGGTAAGAAATTCGTTTAAGGCGCAAGTCGTCCATTGAAAATGGCTCTTAATCCTTCATTTAAAATGCTAAAAGTCATTTTAGCCGAACTATGGTGCAAACCTGAACAATATTAATATTCTTGCATATAAGTAGTTGCGTTTTTTTTGAGAGACCCTGTATAGCTATATACTTTATCAGAATAGTCAATAGACAATAATATTAATCCAATGCAGATGCATCCATAATAAAATATTGTTTTACCAATGATTCCTGCAGGTAATCCGAGATCTAATAACAACTCAGCACCATCTACCAAATAAAAAACAGCTTTAATGTAGTAGTATTAATATAACAACTGTCAGATAATATGTATGTCTTTTATACTAGGATAATTAGCCTTTCTCAGGATGACGTTTTGCTTTTTGGGGGTATTCAGTTTTCAATTTTCTCAGATGGGTTTAAAAAATTATAACAACATGAAAAGCATTTTTTAGTATCAACACACCATTTGAAGAATAAATTCAGCCTAAAATTAAAGACAGTCGCCATTACAAGGTCTTTTGATATTTGCTCATAATATAAGTTCCTTCTGGTAATGTTAGATAAAATTGCCATGTTTATAGGTTGAATAATATATTGTCACACACATGCTTTTGTGCTCCCTTCTCAATACATAGATTGTATTCTTAGTTTTTAAGGAGAGACTGTATGTAAAGCGATTTTGACATAAATTACAAGTACTACAATAACCTGTTTTTAAAAGAATGAAAAAACCTAATCCCACATTGAATAACAGATCATACTATTCATAAATACAACTGTTCATCAAAATCAAGCAAAGGACTTCAAAACAATATGGATTAGAATGGAAAATTTGTTGAATTCTGTTTCTCCCAATTGAAGAACTACTTTTCAAAGAACAATTATGTACAAAATTATACATAAGTATACTAAATATGTACGTATACAGTACCTGAAATCAATTTTGCAGCAACCATCAACAGTGCACCATAGAAAACAATAAGCAGGAGATTTCCAATAATCTAGCAAAATATTAAAATAACCAATGAGCAAAGGCTAGCTTAATTTAAAAAGTTGGTAAATTTCAGGATCTCATATAGTTATTCTTTATTTAATCAAGAGCAAGGTCTCAGTACAAAATTACAGAACTAAACGTTTTTGTACCCACCAAAACCTAGCTAAAAATAATTTAGTCTTTTGTGTTAATCAACTTACTGTGCTTGAACATGGAAACTTTGTTAGTCTATCCTCATAGCACTTATCAGTATGATTGGTTGCATTTTCATTAGAATTATCCAAACCTTCTGCAGCCTAAAATTGATAGAAAAATTTTTTAGTTATAATATAAAAAAAAATTATATCTGTATCTGGATGCTCAGATACAATATGTTCAGATCAAGGTGTTGAATTTAAGGCTAGAGGTGGGGGGGGGGGGAGAATCTTGGAAAAGCTAGGGCACTTTAGTTCACAAAGGCAAACTAGGAAAAAAGTTTAGTTTACAATAGCAAAATAATCAGGAAATTCAACTTGTGCACTTTTGCTTTCAGCAAAATACTCATATTGCAGAAGAAAATATCCTAGAGTGTTATCTATTGCCTATAAATAAGAGGGCAATTGCAACTCAAAATGGTGCAATTAATGCTAAAATTGCACTCCTCTTAGCCAATGAAATTGCCATTGATTACATGCAGAGGATTATAACTATATTATCATAACTGTGTAATTTTTTCTGGCTAACTGTAGTCCACCACTATATCCACTCATATATAATGAGTGCCAAAACAGCCAGTAATATAGTGATGAGAATTTGTTGTTTGCACTTTTTATTAAATGTTGGTATTTCACAACCTTAGATGGAATAGAATTGCATTGCAAGTTGCAAGGAAAGTTGCATATAGTGTAACACCGGTTTCTAGCCGATGGTATAATTGATTGATAGAGTCCGCAGACATAACTATGTAGCTAGGGAGACTTTTAAGCCCAGTCCAGTGAAATAACCACAATAAAAAATATCGGATAGCAATCATATAGAAGCTTTGATTAAATCGGGATTAAAAAAGAACTCTTTAGCTTCGTTTAGGAGGTAAAATTTTGAATATATATTTGATTTATGTTAAACAGAAAGAGCTATTTCTATATGAGGTAGGAATACGCAGTTTTTGCGGTTTCTACATAAGGTCGAATAGCTGGAATTCCTGGCCCTTACATTTCTTATCCCTTACATGCTTGAAGGAGTACAACCGTATTTCCATCTTGACGAGTAATATAGAAATTCTAATTTCCAAACAATTCGTTATTGTTGTTTACAAGCGTAAACAGACGCTGTCAGGCAAGATATAGCGTGCTAAAATCAAACTGAATCCTTTCATTATTCATACGCGTATATATACAAAGCTATCATTTTAACTTACCACATTTAAGGACAACAAGAAACAAAACGCGAGTGAACTGAGAGTATTTAAAAGATGAAATTTAGCCATGTTCACTTGTCAAACTTGCCTATGTTTTGATTGTTCTCGCTAGAGGCTTGTCGGCTCTCGCTGTGCCTGTGATGAATGTTATTGACACGCCCATTTACTAGTTGCTTCCATTTAAGTGGCCATTTAAGTGTTGAATATTTAATTATCAAGTAAATCAACTTGCTTCGCAAGTTGCCTCTCTCCTCCGCAGAGGCTTCGAATGCAAATGCGCTAGACTTTTAAAGATGACCGCTGCTTGCTAATATGACAAGATATTCAGCTTCGGGTTCGTATCACTGATCTGCGGTTCGTATGGGCACAGAATACCTAACAGAAGTAGAACTCCTGTACTTTTTTCGTAAGTGTGATTCGTCATGATTCGTCACTTAGCAAGTGCATTTTTTTGAAAAGTCACCCCCCTACCAAAATTTAGCAATATGGCGCGTGGGATATTGCTAAATTTTGGCAGGGGGGTGACTTTTCAAAAAAATGCACTTGCGGACGAATCATGACGAATCACACTTACGAAAAATAGTACAGAGTTCTACTTCTGTTAGGTATTCTGTGGTATGGGGCGCCGTGTGTAAAGAAACTCAATGTCACAAATAAACAAGTTTTTCTTGGGATTTTGGATCAACTTTGTCGTTTTATTCACAAATTTATTGCTATTTACTAAATCACAAGGCTTGCCCACTGCCCGCAATCACATGTTCTCATTGCCCATCAGGTATTGACGTTTCCAATTGTGATTTATAAATCACAAGTGCAATTTTAATTGCAAATGTCATTCCGATTTATAAATTGCAATTGTTATCGGTTATTGCGATTTATAAATCACAAGTCTAATGAATAGCAATTGTAATGTCATTGCGATTTAGCCGCACTGGATTTAACCCACTGAGCTATATTAAAATTAAGGATATTCTCATAAGCTTTCTCTCGAATGGCCATTCTTTAGTTTTTACAAAAACTCTTCGTAAAGCTAGTAAATCGAAGTTTTACAAAGCTTTGCGGTCGCCCGTGCCGCCAACCAGCCAACTCGTTGGCAAAAAATAGCCAACTTTACGGTGCTATTGCGAGCAAACTAAATGAAACAAGACGCCTGTTCTGGCGTTAACTCCGGCGAATGGCCAGTCTTCAATATAGAGCTTCTGAACATAAACAATACAGTTCATATTCGCATTTAGATGCCTTGCGAACTTAAATGTTGGATCGCGAAATTCAGAAGCACATCGTACTTTAAAAAGTATAGAAGTTCAATTGATCAAAAATGTAAATAAACCTCATGATACATTCGCTTTGTCTTACACTTTGCCTTTGGAATTCGCGCTTATATAGTTATATTAAATCTTCAATCCTGTGCAAACTACGACGTGTCAACGCGACACCGCGGAAATTGGTATAGGCTTAGCCGCAATTCAGATGTGTATAATGAGCTGTCAAAAGATTGCAGAATGCGTATTCAGAAGAAAAATTGAACTTTTTTAAGATATTCAAAAGGTTTCTCTTTGATAGGGCGATACAGAAATGCACAATTGTGAACCAGCGATTAGATTTTCGGGTTGAAACGTCTTAAACACCAATTTCTGCGGTTTCTGTCAACGCGGCCATACACGACCACATCATCTTGTTAAACGGCGAAATAGCAGCGATATTATTAAAATAGGACCAGTTTCCCCCCCAACCTCAACCCCCCCCCTATAAAGGTCTTGGGAACATGGTTGGAAGCTTCGTGCGAAAATCGCATGCGGCATGCATTTCTCGAGTTGTGTTTCCCGTTCACTCGCCCGCTTTTCTAGATAGGAGGATAAATAGGGGTATAGAGGTTTAAATGAGTACAAAAAGACTTCAACGTTTTACATACTGTTTGCTCACCTATACCCTCCCCTGCTCCCGGGAGCCGAGGCCGCCCAATTACTAAGTCTTTTTGTACTCATATACCCCTCATTCACCCTACTTATCCTCTGATTTCCTTAAAGATTAACTTCGATTTCCAAAGATTAACCGAGTATAAACCCGAACAACATACCTACCCTTTTTCTGTCTTTCCGCCATGAGAAACGTACCATTCTGTTCCTGATACCACGATCTTGTACTTGATAGTGCACGACTTTAGCACAAGGCTAACTAGCGATTGTTGGAAGCCTACACAAACTTTTCGCCATAACCTTAACATGTAATATTAATAACGAAAATTTCCAAACGAGATTCGAACCTCCGACTTTCAACACATGAGACCAACATCTGACCATTAGACTACAATTTCTTGTGCTAAAAGGCTATGTTTATTTAACTTACATAATCCTTTTCACAAAGTTCATAATGAGAAGTAGTTATGATAGGAACTGAACCATCGATTTACCACTTGAGAGACCATTATCTCCGACACTTGACTACAAGATCTTCTGCTGAATGGCTTTGGGTATTTAATTTACTTCATCTTTTTCACGAAGTTCATAATAAAAAAACGGTTATTGTAAGATTCGAACCATCGATTTACCACTTGTGAGACCATTGCCTTCACCACAAGACAACGGGATCTTGTGCTGAACGGTTACGATTATTTGATTTACTTTATCATTTTCACGAAGTTCATAATGAAAATACGGTTATCGTAAGATTCGAACCATCGATTTACCACTTGGGAGACCATTGTCTTCACTACTAGACTACGAGATCATGTGCTGAATGGTTATGATTATTTAATTTATTCATCTTTTTCACGAAGGACATAATGAAAAACGGACATGCCTGGACCCGAACCCCAAGTTTGAATCATGGGAGAGCATTGCGTTCACCACTAGACCAGTAGAACTTCAGGAGAATCACCACACTGTTTAAATTTATTTTATTTTTTTATTTTACACAACCTTTTTTCGAAGGATTTTACATAAGTTTATATACGTTTGCTTTGATGATGATGATTTTTATTTTGTCTAAAACGCACAAACCTGAATCTTATTCGTGGCTTTAACCTAATTGATTCATTTGTGCTGACGCTAAAATATCATAGGTAAGGAGTCCATTGAGAAAAGGAACAGCGTTATTTCACCATAAGCTAGTTATATGCGGCCCTGGTGAAGCAAATGGTTACGGTGCGATTGTTTTGTATTTTTAATGAAGTCAAGTCTGATTTCACAGGTCACAAATTAAAATTTGAGGAAAATGGCAATTCAGATTCATTAGAATGTTTCAACATTTGCCACTTATTTCATAGCTGAAATTGTACTCCAAATCTCCATTATAACGCAACAGATATTAAATAACTCTACTTCTCTTAAGCTGCGTTTACACGGTACCATCCGTCACAACATCTTCGTTTCCAAGCAGCGTACACCTAAGATCCTATAAGGCACAGTCACTGTCGGTCACAGCACGGCTACCAGCCCCAGTCTGATTTATTTATATCAATTTCTTTCTTATATTACATTCCGTCATTACGTATCATAATCCCTTAATCATCATGTTCCTCTAGCAAATTGTAGTTACAAGATTATGTATTGCGATATGTATTATTTACGCAATCATTTTGATCGAGCGCCACACTTTCTTCTCACATTAGTTTTTGTCCCGAAAACGTTAAAAGTTGATACAGAAACTACGATCAAAATCTCCCGATTCCTGACCAGGACAAACAAACCAGGACAAGCAAACTTTCCCTGCTCAGTAGGCATAAAGTAAGGTTTTAGATTGTCGTGATGGACCATGAACTCTCGACCTGTTTCTTATCTAATCTTATAATTTACGCCTAGTCTTCCTAAAATAGTGTGAGGTCCAAGCCACTTGGGACCGAATTTCCACTCCTTTGGCCGCCTAAGCCATACATGCTCAAGCCATACAAAATCGAATTTCCTGCTGACCCAGCAAGTCCGACGAAGAGAGGAGTCCTCGGGAAGATCGCGAAAGTTTATGATCATCTCGGGTTGATTTCGCCCATTACTCTGCAAGGAAAGTTCCTCTCCCCGCGAGTGTTGTGACGCGAAGGTCCCCTGGGACGCCAAACTGCCTAGAGGACAGCGTGGGAGAAGCTAGATGGACAGCGTGGGAGAAAAGCCTACCAGAGAACGTGACCGCGCCAAGGAGTCTAGCTAAGTTCCAGGAGCCAATTGAAGATACAGGTCATTAGATCAAGATCATTAGATCTGGTCGTACACGAAAGACAGTATAGAACTTAGTGCTTTAGATTTCAACATATATTTCGAGCAGTTGCGTAAAATTAGATATTAATCGAGTTAACATTTATTGGGACGGTGAACACTGAACGAGGCACAATTTTTTATATTCGCTTCTTCGAGAATCAAATAGGGGAAGTGTGTTGGAAATTGTGCGGATGTAGGATAATTATCATAATGCATGCAAACGTCATAGGTATAAATTAATACTGCACGAGGATCAATAGTAAGTAAGAAATTTGGATAATTACGGACAGATTGGAAGTGAGGCTCAACTTGACTATCAAATAGCGATTGCGATAGTGAATGTGAATTAGTGTTTTTACTTTACTCTTTACTATTAAAAAAACCTATAATTGTGATTGTGTTGGTTTAACATAGCTCTAACGGCATTCCCAGCACAGCCTCCACCTGCTATGAATGACGGGTCTGGTTAAAAACAAAATGATAGGTGAATAAAAATATCTACAATCCCTCACGAATATCTTCGTCTCTTATATTATAATTTCTTAATTATCTTCGCTTTTACCTGGGAGGGTGTCCATTTACCAGCTGCCTTGACAGACTGCGCAGCCTTGGAACTCTCTGGCTTGAGATGCACGTGACTAGGCTGACCTTTGACCGTGAAACTGTCCGTAGTTGAGGAACTTTCCCGAAGCTGAGACTTGCCGACTTCGTCCCCGCCATTTCCGCGAGGGGTGAATCCAGGACTGTCCTCGTCTAGTAGTTTCCAGACAACTTGTAATGACGCGCGGTCGTGTGATGAGAACGAAGGTTGCCATAGTGAGACGATGTCGTCACGCCCAGTAGACGTTTCTGGTAAGCCTGCATTTTCTGTGAGTTCCGCCTTTTGGGAGTGTTTTTGAAGTGTTTCGGCCGACGCGGAATTATTTTTCCGAGGAGATAGCGAATGCTGATCATTATTCCTCGCTAGTGTTCTCTGTGCATACCGCAGTTCTTTGCTTGTTAGTTGATATTGCAATTGTTCCAAACCCCGTATTGGGATCGGGATGTTTGCGCCACATTCTGCGGATCTTTGAATGATTGACTTGCTTCAATTGAAGGTGATTTTCTTTCTCCTAATATAACGAAAGAATGAGATTCTAAGATCGAAACGGTGACAGCGGTACACTAAATGTAATCGATTTCACATTTCAGTTTCTCTCATAATGTCAAAGCGGGAACGCTGCGGAGAAACAAGAAATTTTCGTGTTCTCAATAATTGTGGTTTTTTTCAACTTCTATAATATAGGTTTAAACTTTTGTTCTTAACAATTTATCAAAAATGTTCTGAGACACCCTGCAAAACAATTTCATTTCATACTTGGACGCTAGGACGTATTAAACGAATGTTTAGTCCACCCGTTTTCAGTACATTTTCACGTAGGTTTAACTTATATCTTATCAATGAACACGCATGTTTTGTTTCAACTGTTCCTATTGAAATTTTCCGCCATATTCCTTTTTACCGGCTGGCGTGCGCAGTGTGCAGACGTTTTCCCGCGGTGTTCTGGGGCCTGGTCACGTCTACATGTGGTAGTGACGTAATCATCGCGGGAAATCTTTGCACAGTTAATCTTTTCCGAGCAGCAGAAGTTACGCGTCATGACTATACGAAGAATGCATTCAATATTCATTCACTAGCTTCCAGTAATTTATTTCGACTAATCACGTATATACATTAATGCCATCTTAATACAGTAGATATACCAAAACATTCCTTCAAATACCTTTAAATTTCAACAATTTAGCTCTCAGCTTATTTCCCATTTTAATCAACTGTTCGCGTTCTTTTGTTAATCCATTAATCCGTTGAGCAGCTTGACGTAGTTTTGTGTGTAATCCTTCAGCTGACGATACTACTCCCTTAATTCATATCAGCGATTTCTGAAAAAAGGAAAACGTTTAAAATACAAATTCTGACTAAATAGTTTTACAGTGAATTTAGGGTTTGTTATGTGTTGATGAGAAATTTTAGGTTTTCCCGCCGCATTCAATGGAAAAGATCATAATTTACCAATTGTGAACGGGTTGGAATGAAATATAACAACACTGACTATATAGCGTCATAGCTACTTTAGCGTCATAGCTATATCACGCCATTTTAGGTGGATCAGGACAGCAAGGGATATGCCATCTATATATGGTGTAGCAACCGACAGTGGTTAATTGGGTTACATCACAATCTATACGTTTCAATTTAGTAGATTTAGAATGTTCTACGGCAGTCGTGAACAAGTTTGAAGGAGCTTTTAGAATACAGGCGTACGACTGTCACAACTGATATTTCAGGTTCAGCATTATACCTGCTCGCTTTGTTGCTCAGTGAATCTCCCAGGATGTTACTAACATCCGGCAGGAATGTAACTAATCAAATCCTCTCTTAACTGCTTGCGGTTTTAAAAGCGCATATAAATTAATGCAAATTAACCAACAACACGGGAAAGTACAATTGAAAGCGGTTTCACCGATAAGCTTCAGACTGTGATACATTTACATGTTTAATTTGTTTTAATGTTATATACCTAAAGAATGTGTTTATTATTTCCATTTTGCATCTGCGATCTAGTTATTTAACAATATCATTGAACTAACCTGGTTTCCTAATGATACAGCATCAATATTTCTCTCCAAACCCGTTTTGTAAAATTCGTCAGCCTGGTGTCTTGCTTGGGTTACCTGCAGCTTGAGATCAGAGTTTTGCTGTTTCAAAGCCAATTTATTTCTTCGTTGGCCCGACGATTCTCTGTTGCCAACTGATAGTGAAGTTGGTCAATGTTTTGTTGCTTCTGACGAACCTAAAAAGAGAAAGACCGTTGATCATGCAATTGACCTATAGCCATTTAGAGAAGAAGACTCGCCTCTTCTGAAGAATGATGAAGTAAACCTTGAAGATGAAGGATAGTTGCTTCACATTTTCTTAATTGAGATGTAAGATCAAATTTCTCTTGGCGTAAACTACCTAAAGACGTGCAAGAATATATATTGTGAAATAGACAATTATATTATATACCTTATCTGAAAATCTAGTCGGTTAATACAGAATGCCTTTTGTGCGATTCCCACAATTTAAGTTACCATGGTCAATAGTACAATGCGATTGGAATATCAGCTCTTAAAAAAATCTTAATCCTTGATACCCCAGTTGTATTTTGCAAAAAAAATACAGGCAGTTTTTTCAAATTTTCACTTGGGTAAATTCTCAGGGCTAATCAACATGCTATAGTGTTTTTTTAATGACCCACAAAATTACGCAACTTGAAAGTCAAATATTTGACTTAACGGAAATATTTGCAGTAAAGATAGTGAACAGTTATGTAACTCGGTGTAATAAATCAGCATATCGAGGCAATGTATGTAGGGGTTATTTTTTATGGTACCCGCGCGCGGAGTGAAAACCCGCAGAAATTATTCAGGACATTGTAGGTTAAAATTTGACATTAGACACAGAAAACTAATTCAACGTTCAACTATAACTATTTAGATAGCACAATGAAAACTGCTGGGTATGCGGGGGATGAGGTAATGTTTCAATTTAATGACGCTATATGTTTAAGCTTTTTGCTATGTTTAAACTTTTTGAACTGCTGTTGTATGGTTGAACTTTGTTATCTACCACTTATCTATTGTGCTGTTCAGCTGTGCCACCAGACCTCTTACATGAACATCATCCTTACTTCAATCTAAAACGTAAGTTGGCTCAGTATTTTCAGTTTTAGCATTTGTATTAGCCATGGATTGGGTCAGTTCGCGGTTTCTCGCCTTCACTTCTCGAATTTCTTTTTCCAGACATGTCACATATTCTGAAATGTTTAGTAAAGAAATACCAGATTAACTCTATTCACACTGATCTTTGTTACGATCACTATAACGATTAGTCATTCTAAAAATATGTCTTTCAAAATACAGAAGCTATATATGTAGAGTAGAACGGGGATCGCCTATAATAAGCTACGGGGGGTCAAACCCAGGCTACAGTAGAGTAGCTATATTAAAGATAAGGTTTTAAGAAAAAATTAAAATCATCCATGTATAGAACACAATCTGGCTTTAAATTTTTGAAATTGTTTTGTTATGAAATATATTCCTGCTTTATTATCATACAAATACCTTCTCTGATTGGTACGCCATCTCCTGCATTAGTAATCGATCCAGTGGTACGTTGAGTCAACTGTTTCGTCAAATCCTCCAAATCCTCTCTCATTTGATGAATAACATGACGAAAATTTTCGTTCTGAACTTGAAGTTCTTCATTATTCATATTCGCTGCTGGGGTGCCAACATCTTCGACTGTAACAAGAAAAGATAAGTCTGAACTTAACCCGGACGAAAACGTCATGCTTTTGTCACAATTGAGATTTGTGAAACATGCATGAATGATAAAATCTAGCGAAATGATAAAATCTTGCGAAGCAATGGGGGAGGTATCGATGTGAAGGTTTCAGATTCGCGAGCGCAGGGTATGTCCTCAATTACATCAGCACAAACTCAAAAGAATTTTGGAATGTGTCAAGTGTTTTATCCATGAAGAAAAATCGCGTTATTTCAGTGAAAATTACATGCGCGTTAAACTTCGAGTAATATCATCAGTAAAGTTTCGAAAATACTAAGATATTTTCGGTTGATATTTCCGTCCGCATCTAAAGTTTATACATCTTGCGACAGTTACCTCGTTAAGCACATCAGCTGGCTTTTAAGTATAGCCACTACGAGAGGAGCATGATTCGACTTGCAATCTATTTTCAACAACTTTATTACGGCGAATAACGGAGACTGAATTTGGAATCGATGAGTTTCCTGTTACCACTGCATACAATCATTAGTTGAATTACGAATTTACATAAAGAGACTATATTTACATAGTTGTGATATACAAGAACAATCTCAAAAAATGCCTCATTTGGCATACATGTGCAATACTGTCGCATGCATACGGATCGACAACCTTTTTCACCATTCGTAAACTACATTTTCGTTTCGTGACTGTTTACGGATCGTAAACGAACAGTCCATTCGATACCAATGGTACGGATCGACAAGCTTTTCAGAGACCTGTCCTAGACACATCTCGCCCTATTTACGAATCGACACAGTCTGTTTACGGATCGTAAACGAACCGTCCATTCGACACCAATGGTACGGATCGACAAGCTTTTCAGATGCCTATCCCAGACACATCTGGCCCAATTTACGAATCGACACAGTTTGTTTACGGATCGTAAACGAACAGTCCATTCGATACCAATGGTACGGATCGACAAGATTTAGAGGGGTCTGTAGCTTGGCACATCTCCTTTTTACCAATGGACAAAATCTGTTTACGGATCGTAAACCAACGGTCTATTTGATACCAATGGTACGGATCGACAACTTTTTCAGACCCCTATCCTAGACACATCATGCCCTATTTACGAATCGACACAGTTTGTCTACGGATCGTAAACGAACAGTCCATTAGACACCAATGGTACGGATCGACAACTTTTTCAGAGCCCTATCCTAGACACATCATGCCCTATTTACGAATCGACAAAGTTTGTTTACGGATCGTAAACGAACAGTTCATTCGATACCAATGGTACGGATCGACAAGCTTTTGAGAGCCCTGTCCTAGACACATCATGCCCTATTTACGAATCGACACACTCTGTTTACGGATCGTAAACGAACAGTCCATTTGATACCAATGGTACGGATCGACAAGCTTTTCAGAGGCCTATCCTAGACACATCTTCCCTATATTTACGAATCGACACCCTCTGTTTACGGATCGTAAACGAACAGTCCATTCGACACCATTGGTACGGATCGACAACTTTTTCAGAGCCCTATCCTAGACACATCATGCCCTATTTACGAATTGACACAGTTTGTTTACGGATCGTAAACGAACAGTCCATTCGATACCAATGGTACAGATCGACAAGCTTTTGAGAGCCCTGTCCTAGACACATCTGGCCCAATTTACGAATCGACACAGCCTGTTTACGGATCGTAAACGAACAGTCCATTCGATACCAATGGTACGGATCGACAAGCTTTTCAGATGCCTATCCCAGACACATCTGGCCCAATTTACGAATCGACACAGTTTGTTTACGAATCGTAAACGAACAGTCCATTCGATACCAATGGTACGGATCGACAAGATTTAGAGGGGTCTGTAGCTTGGCACATCTCCTTTTTACCAATGGACAAGATCTGTTTACGGATCGTAAACCAACGGTCCATTTGATACCAATGGTACGGATCGACAATTTCTTCATCGCCTTATCCTATAGACACAACTTGCCCTATTTACCAATGGACACAGTCTGTTTGGGGATACAGCTGCTTTCGCCTTAGACACACGCTAGTTTCCATGCCTCATGTTCTAGTCGACAAAATGCGTTTACGAATCGACATAGTCTATTTACGGATCGTAAACTAAGAGTCTATTCGATACCAATGGTGCGAATGGTTGCTTACTTCTAACGAATAGAAATGCCTAAACCACTTTACCAGCGATCAGTATAAAAAATTTTACGAAACGAACGACCCGTATGCTTGCAACAGTATTGGACAACCATCTCATTTGGCACCAATGTTTTAGATCATTTTTAAAATTTCTCGAGGATTTTACACCCCGTCACACCTTGTACAAAATTTTGTTCAATTTACATCATTTCCCCTATTTGTGTTAATCTGCCCAGCTGGAAGAGCTAGGGCCCCATATACGCCGTATAAAAACCGAACGCTAAGCGTTTACGATCTACCTACAATAAAGGTGTAAAACTCACCTGATATTTGGGAAGGCACGGCTAGTCCATGAAGCTTGAGGATAGAAACTGATTCATCTCTTTGTGTCTTCAAAATATGGATAACACTATCCTTGTGAAGCAGTTCACGTTTCTGTTGTTACACCAACGATAACGCCTGATGTGAAAAAATACAGAAGAGTTCTATCAACCTTAATGTTGACGTTGAAGTCCCTGATGATCAGTTTAGTAACATTATATCGCTTCATTTGGACCTTGTAGGGCTGAAACTTCAACGGGATTCCAAATTAAAAAAGAGTAGGGTAGAGGCAATGGAAAGGGGTGTAACATTTTACATATTACATATTCGCATATTGATATATATTCACCTCTTCTTTGCCTTGTGTTAAATTCTTAACTAGTTCTTCTTGTTTATCATACCCAGTTCTTTTTTCCTATTCATATCTGCGCTGCTAATCTAATTCAAGCTGAGCCCTAGAACGTTCCAACGACGACTCTCTCTCCAAAGATAAAGACAACTCTTTCTGCCTCCTAAAGAAAAAAGTTGAATCAAGACCTGAGATTACATCTTTACTACAAATCTTCAACACGATACACGACCGGTAATATCAAAACATAACAGGATTGCAGGTATGTTTTTTTATGATTTTCGATCTTTTACACTTTTTCTTTATCCTAAAAAATCGTTAATTATCAATACTTATTTATAGTACAATATTCATTAACACATAGTTGTACTTCAGCTCAGCAAAGGAGATGTTTTAGACGGATAGATGGAATGGCTTCAAATAATAACCAGGTTTATCTGATCAGATATGTTTAAGCCCCGTGAAAAATCACCTCATACGGTGAGCCTGCAATTATTGAGGAGTGTTTTACGATAGGTCGGAATTTAAAAACAATCGAGAAAACAAAGTTATATTCAACGTTTATTCGCACCTCTCAAGATCATTCTTTCTCTGCGCGAGTTCAGATCATATCTTGGCATCCTGTTGGTGCAAAGTTTCCCATTCAACATCCTTTGCTACAGTTAATCTGGAAAATTCCTGGTTCTGTTGGTCCATCTTGCTCTTTAAGTCTGCGATTGATTGATTTCGCCTGTGTAATAAAAAAATCAAGTTGTTCCTCTCGAATTGTTAAAAAGTTGTCGAATTTCAGCATCAACTTGTCCAAAAGCACAATTCTTGAACGGATGAATTCATGAAAGTCATAATAAGGCGTTCCAGCAGCCTAGTATTATAGGTTAAATATGGTTTTTCGGTTCAAAAGCGGATATATTCTAAGTTTTGAAATAGACATGCCCTGTGGCAGAGCTTAGGTTAGTAAAAATAAATTAGAACAGCTCACATTTGTATTTTGGACATATTGAGAATTAAAAATATTTTCAAAAAAAGCTACTCGTAGACACAAGACACGAGTAATGAACCTTTGGAGGTTCACAATCAAAATAAATAATGCATTTCGACTTACGCCAGATCCGCCAATGAACATACATTAGGACAGAAATCAGAAATGCATAATGTGATTGATTTAGGTAAGAACCATTTCAATATACATGGTCTTCTCCCCTGTCCCTCCCCCCTGAGGAATTTCACACAGTGAATTCGAATTATGGCAGTCTGAAAGGGATGTCTAAATAGAAATCCACTCTGCAGAATTTCATAGATTTTATTTTTCAACAAACCAAACTTAGATGCAATTCTCATGCAACATGCAATGATCATAGTTAACTGGTTTGAGTTATTTTTTACCTGCATACATGCGAAAGTTAAAGAACTGCAAGATCAGTGGTGTCAAGATATGTTGAACTGTACTCATGCATACACACTTCTGACCTTTCCTTTTGCATAAACATGCCAAGGCTTTCCCAGCTAGCCTGCATGATAAAAGTCTCGTCCTGTCTAGACGTGATGATATATACATTGCGTGAAAGTATTATACAATTAGGTTCTATTTGCCCAGTTCATGGAAACAACGCAAATTACTCAAGAAAACTATATCACCAGAGAAAAAACTTACTGTGTTACCAGCCTCCTGAGATTTTTAGTCCGGTTATTAAGGCTTAGTCTACATTTACAATAGCGACTTACTTGTTTAGCGTTGGCCAACATTTCTTCTTTTTCCTGAGCAAAGCGATCCAATTCGGCATGTTTTCTTATAAATCCTCCTGTAAGTTGTCTCCCATTCTCCTCATATATTCCAGTTGTGCTTCGAGATCTGTGACCTAAAACTTATTAGTGTTTTCCAAATCAGAAATCATCCAATCTTTTCCTTTAAGCATCTTCTCCAGCTCCCGAGTTCTCAGCTCTGTCTTGTTGAGTTCCTCTTTACATCGACGACTATCACATCGCATTAACTCCAGTTCTTTTGTTAAACTTCTGATGTAAAAAAAACAGTCAATTATTAAAAAGAAGTGACAATGATCGACAAACCATCCCACAAAGCACTTTCTAGATATGTACTTTAAACCAAAAGCCTAATTTATGACGGGAAATATATATGTTTGGCTAGGTAGTCTGGTTTGACCAAATGCACTTGTTTAAGCATCTAGACTACATAGGTAAAATTTAGCTCAGAGAGCGAATTTCTAAATTCGTCAAGAAGTTAGGGAAAAAGCGAAACCTTGTTTGTAGCAAGATAGTTTAACTGGAAAACAGTTACACACACATTGTATGTTTACAATGCACAACATGTAATATTTTTAGTATTAGTCATCCACAAAAGGGCCTTAAAACAACTGGTCTATGTGGTGAAATAGTTTAAAGCCACAACATGTAGTGTTTAAAGTGCACAAGAGGTTTGTTGGAGAGAAATGAGGAAAAGGTCCAAGGAGAAGAGAGCTTCAGTAATGAAATGGTGGTAATATTGTATTTGAGGTATATATTGGCAAATGGAAAGCATGCAGATAGGCTTGTAATGGTTGTAATGAGTATAAATTATTACCTTAAGGTCATTTGACAATAAGAGACTTCTTGTTTCATCCAGTTTTGATCGATATTCTTGTTCTCTTTTTCTTATTGCTTCATCAAAATTACTGACATTTTCTGGATGACGAAACTCAAAATCATTTTCTGTTGCTCTAAAAAATCAAAATGTTGATTTTTAACCAATAATTTAAAAAATGCTTTGTTAACATAATCAGTGTAACTCATTATTAATTATAGCCTCAGTAAGTTCTCAAAGTTCATAATTGCACATTGGCATACATTGCATGTAATATATCTCTACTGACACTAAAAGGTAGTTACAGTGGCTTCTTCACATCAGTTCTGCTTATAACAATATGGATAGACTACTTGATTTAATATAAGTTTCAACTTTCAAGTTATACTCAAAATCATCCTTCAACTTACGAAATCTCAACTTCTGCTGTCTCAACATATTGTGTAGGCATAATTCCTGTCATGCCTTCCATCACCAGATATCATGAAATTATCTTGGTTTTTTAATGTTTAAATTAATCCGTTTAATTTAAAAAGCACAAAAATACCACCAAAATATAGCTGAAGAAAAATACTTTAACCCAATCGCTTCTGTTTTAATCCAGAAATTAATCAATATTGCTGTTAACCTGACACTGCAGTGCAGCTCTAAAAATCATATCAAATTACACGGGATTACAAACGGAAATATAACTCGCCTTTGGAATTTCGTTATTTTCTCGTTATTTTTATCCTGTTGTCTTTTAACCGTTACATGTAAACTGTAAAGGCTTTAGTTATCTTTTCTGATAGTTTTTAAGTCAGGATGGGCAGAAAAACTCGAAAAATATAGCTTTTTTTATTTGTTATTGTGTATAGCGAGGCGTTGCTCAGCCGCACGCACATGTGGTTGTCACGTGAGGTTAGAGGTATCAAAAACGTAACGTTGCCTACCCCGCGGGAGTAAAATAAGCCCGGTAATCGATTTCCAGGGTAAAATTGTCTCTAGAAGTCATAATTGTCAAATTTTCGCCAATATGGTGATAATTATATCAAAGATTATATGCACATTTTCCGGTTTCCATTTGTAAACACGCTTGTAGGAAATATCACTACAAATCACCAAAGCGACTGTATTTCAAGTAAAATAGATGAAAATATTGATCCCAATGTATACTAGAAATATTTGGAGGTTTTTAGGCGAGATTTTTGGAAGGCTTTGCGTATTTTCGCTTCTCTAAAATTCAACTTTAAAAAGTACAAGTTCGGCAATAAATATCTTGGCTTATAGGAAAGCTTTTGAAATGAACTAAATTTATACAAATAGGTAAATGTTTTTTCTTTGAGATAACACAATTTCTAGTTGATTTGATAAAATACTTCCAGATAAAATCGAAATTATCTGTGTGCGCCGTTTACGAGCAGACAGCAATGAGTTTAGTGGTCTCATATTTATTAAAATGGGTGAAGTATTCGCACAGTACTGAATCACAAGTTTAAATCAGCTTACCACTTTGAAATATCCTCTGATCGGACGTCTAACTGAGAGGATCCCTTAAACATCGAGAATACTTCATTAACAAGTGCCGCATCCTGTCCTGTTTGAGAAGTTACGAGAACTTCGTCTTGGGTATTGGTTACTCCTTACTCTGTTGGAAGTTCCATTCTGTTGTATGAGGACAAAACTTGTAGTTGGTGTGGTGAAAGGATGCAGATTGTCCGTTGGATGTTGTGCTTTTGTATTAGAGACGGACCACATTAGATATCAGCGCAAAATTGACACATTCATGGGAATCGAACCCAATCTCCTAAAAAGGAGTATCCAAAATGTGTTCTTTGTGTGGCCAGGAAAAAGCGAGAGCTACAGGGCAACTCGCAAACCGACTGGCAGACAATACGAACGTACAACACAAAACACACAACCGACGACACAACATCCAACAACCCACAACCCACTAACTCTGTAGCTAAAACGACAAAAAATATGGTGAGTTGTTCCTAGAAAAGCAAGCATTCACAATTAGCTTGAAGGCAATTGTGGCTAGGGTTTAACTGACGGCATGGGTTTGGGGTGGCTTCTTAGGGTTGGATACTGAAACTAAACTACGATCGTCTTTGTCTGAAAAACACAAAAAAAAGTATTAGTAGCTCCCTAGAAAACGAAGAGCAAAACACAGTTAGACAAGCAGTGAGCCGTGTTTCCAGATACGGGGACAGAGATTCTTAGCTAACAGAGTGCATGGCCACGGGGATCTACTTCTATTAAAAAAATAATTACACATACCTTGATCCTACCTAAAAGAAAGAACTCACTCACCTGAAGAAAACGGTTGAAGACGGCTCTGTTTTATAGCCTGTAGGCTCTTGCATAATTCAGCAAAATTAAGACAACTTGATTGGTTATTTCTGTGCACAGGTCAATTTGTCATTGGTCAATTTTTGTACTCCACGATTGGTTCAATAAAAACCAATCAGATTGGTTAATCTATATTCAAATTTTTATCCCGTTTCTGTGATATTTGCAAGGTGATTGCACAACAAATGTTCGATTTCACACGTTTTGGAGCATATTCCAAGCCAATGTATCACAGTATGTGTGTATTTGTTCGATTATTTCTCTGATGAAGTTCACAAAAAATTACAGTTCAATCATTATTAAAAGACTTTATTTCCCCACTAGCTTCAGAACCCCATCGAGCAGGAAAGTCGGAATTTAAAAGGCAAGTAAATCTTTCAAACTGTTGTAGCATTTGAATTATGTGGTACATTAAACTACTGAACCTTTCAGAATATTGTCGAATTGGGCATGGCATGGAATAATAGTAAATATAAAAACTGACAAAATCGCAAATGTAGTAAATTTCAAGGCTAAATATTGCAAATTCCAGTGGAAATATGGCGTTTTACCGCCATGCATACATAGCTATTCACAGGTATGTTATTCACGCGTTTTATATATTCAATATTACACATCAAAGCGGCCTAATCCTTAGGATATTGCCCAAAATGCAAACGAAAACCGGTTGCAGTGGTTTAGATCAAATATTCAGTACTATTTTGATATATTTAGCGTCAAAATCGAGCCTTTAGAAGATTTTTGCCGATTTTTTATATAAACATACCTGATGATATGAATTATCGCATCACCGGCAATAATATTTCATAATAATAAAAATATGGAAAACAAATTCGGGCAAAAAGCCGAAATTTTGACCTAGTTCCGATTCGAGCTTGTCTTAAGCACGTGCTTACCAACGATTATCGCTTAGCACTTTCATAAGTGTTGTTTAAATGCTATTTCTTCGATTCTTTTGCACATCCTAGCCCAAGAATAACTCAGAATTACAACAGATTGATAACATGTAAAATTGGGACAATTTGAAGACAACAGAGTACCAAAAAAGCGAAAAGATATGGAATTTCTAAAATATATCTTGCTATGGGTGAGTAATTTGAGATAACAAAGCAACCTATTATTTTGATTATTGTTTTTACTTATAATACAAATGCAGGTTATAACTATATGCTGGTTGGAATATACTATTCAAATAATCGTTTCAACCGCTATCGTTTAGTGGTATTCCGGGGTCTTTAGCCCAAATTATTCTGAGATATTTAATGTCTTGCTTCTGTGCAACATTATTGTCAGGAGTAATAGCCTATTTTGCTGTACAGTTCCATTTATCATTCATTTTACACTGGTGTTATATAAAATATAATTTTTTTATTCTTCTTTTCCTATTATGTAATTGCAGAACGAATATTCAATATATTAATGTACCACATAAAAACTCATTATGACAATCGCTATCGGACGTCTATTGCATCGGAGTTACGACTTGTGGTAAGCCAAATTCAATGTTATTTCTCGCGATTTTTCTATGATGTCTTACATTGTGGTTTTTTGAAGATTCTACAATGTTTCCTCAGTCTGCGAGCTGAGAACATCTAGGCCTTGTGCAAGAAAAATTGGAAAAGTTAAATTCACTTCGTATGTTATTTGTTCTGAAAGAAAAGGTTGGTTAATGATGATAGTGCAACGCATGTCAGGTATTCTGCTTTCAAAATTCCTTTTTAGCTCGCCTGCACTTTAGTGCAAGAGAGCTATTGCTATAGGCTTGGCGTTCACGTCCCCGTCCCTGTCCCCGTCCGCGTCCACACTACATGATAAGTAGAATGTTAAGATGCCACTTTTATTTTCCCATTATTTTCAAATTATCTACTTAAGGAGTCTATTTGTTGCGAAAGAACCATTTACCAGGGGGAGTGAACATTATACAACAAAATAAATGATAAGGTCAATGTTAAAATGCTATATTTTTTGTATACTTTGGCTTTACATCAGAGGAATCATTATCAATATAAGTCATCAATATGCATTGTGACTATTTAGTGCCATTTGGTACACATTTATACAATAATAAAGGAGTTTTGCTCAAAATTATCAAATGATAAGGTGAATGTTAAGCTAATTAGCATAATGATAAGGTCATTTAAGATGTTATATTTTTTAAATATTATGGCTTTACATCAGAGATCATCATAAATATAAGTCATCGATATGTCTTGTGAATATGGTGACATTTAGTACACATTTACACAAAAATAATGGGAATTTTGTTCAAAATTATCAAATGATAAGGTGAATGTTAAGCTAATTAGCATAATGATAAGGTCATGTTAAGATGCTATATTTTTTAAATATTATGGCTTTACATCAGAGGAATCATCATAAAGATAAGTCATCGATATGCATTGTGACTATTCAGTGCCATTTGGTACACATTTATACAATAATAAAGAGAGCTTTGCTCAAAATTATCAAATGATAAGGCAAATGTTAAGCTTATTAGCATCATGATAAGGTCAATGTTAGAGTTATCCAGAGTTATCACGCTCATTACGATTTTCAGGGCTATTGTGTAGCCCTGTTTTTTTTTAGTTCAAAGTTGTAGCTGAATCATATTTAACGAAAGTATTTGTACAACCCTAAGCCAAATGAGAAACTTTCAAATATTTTCACCTTTATGCAACCATTTGTTTGTATTGTACATGTACAATTATAAATTATGAGATTGTGTTGTGACATGCCGTATCAAAATTCAATCGCTTAATATGGAAATCATTCAGGGAGTGAATATATATAAAACATAGTCCAAATCATTGCTAAAAACTGCGAGAAATCCCATTCTATTACCTTCGAGTCACGAACTTGTTCGGTTGATCATTCAACAATCCCATTGGATGGTCAAACACAATGGAATTAAGGATACTCTTACGAATGTTCGCGAAAGATATTGGATAATACGTGGTCGTGAATCCGTTAAGAAATTGATTCGGAGTTGTAAGGTTTGTTGTAAGTTCGAAGGAGCTCCGTATAATGGAGTTTCATATGCTGACCTGCCCAGTGAAAGAGTGCCCGAAGACCCGCCTTTCACTCATGTCGGACTAGATTTCGCAGGCCCCTTGTACGTTATAGACGAGTTGTCGAAGGACCAAGACACGTTAAAGGTGTATGTCTTGTTATTGACATGCGCTTCGACTCGAGCCGTGCATTTAGACATCACTCGTGGATTAAGTGTCGAAGCGTTTTTGTTGTCATTTCGAAGGTTTACGAGCCGTAGAGGACTACCAGCTACACTGAATGCAGACAACGCGAAGACATTTAAATCGGCATGTAAAGAGATACGAAGTATAACCCGAGCAGAAGAAGTTTGGAACTATCTAGTAAACCGAAGAATTACGTGGAGTTTCATAATAGAGAAGGCCCCTTGGTGGGTGGTTATTGGGAGCGTCTTGTTCGTAGCATGAAGGGACCACTCAAGAAAATACTCGGTAGATCAACGTTAAATTTCGAGCAGTTGCGTACCATTTTGGTCGAAATCGAAGGAGTGATTAACGCGAGACCGATTACTTATGTTTATGACGATCACGAGTCTATTTCGTATGCTTTGACCCCTTCCGATCTGATTTACGGACGTAGAGTCACTACAAATCCCAATTCGAGCCATGAAGAGATTTTGAGTACCTATAAAACACTAACGAAGCGAGGACATCATCAAAAATTGTTGTTGCAAAGTTTAACCAAGCGATGGCGAAACGAGTATCTGACAGAATTAAGGGAGCATTCAATACAAAGGTGTCGACGAGAAAGATCAGTGGCAAATATATCGAAGGGCGACGTAGTTATTCTAAAGAACGACTCCACGAACAGAGCTTTTTGGAAACTCGGTAAAGTAGAGGAACTAGTTGAGGGAAGAGATGAAGGTTAGCTGCAATTGTAAAGGTTGCCCGAGGTGAAAAACGACCAACACTGTTGAGACGTACGATTTAACAACTTATTTCCTATTGAAGTTAACTCAAGGTCATAAGGGTTACGAACAGAGAAACGACATATACTATTAAGTGATTAATTTCCTTGATATATGACAATCGAAGATTATATGATTTCTAGTTGATTAAATAGTTGATTTAGAATTAATTTAGTTTCTCATCAAAGAATGAAGAAACCTTGGGCAGGGTAAGAAACGGTAATTAAAATTATTAAAGGTAATGTAGGAAATTTAATTAGAGATAATTAGATTGGCGTTAGGGTTGACATTTATAATTATATCTAAGCTACGAACACGATTACCTTATATAGACTGTTTTGTTTGTACATAGCTAGGGGAAGATTGATTTATATCACGTGATTGTGCCTAAAACCTTTTGTAAATTATGGTTTCAGTTCAGTTGAACAATTGTATTCATATCGAGTGATGGTAAAAATTACAATGAATTAAAAGCGACTCTTACGATTAATTACAAACTCTAACATGCCTTTCCCTGAACAAGTAAAGTTGTCGGGTTTAAATAGAAATAAACACACTTACAATGATTTCACAACTTCTTCTTCTCGTTCCCGTTTGCTTCTATCCGATTCGTTAAACAAGTTTTAAAGAAAAATATCTAAAGCTGATAACGTGATGTTATCATTGAATCACCACCTTTCATGTATGGAAATGAATATTGTGTTTCCATATTGCTTAATTCACGATCAATATGGCGGTTGGTCGTAGCTCTATATATTTCTTTATGATATTTATTTTATCTAACGAGTTTCGTACATCTCGACCAATCAATATGGCATTTAAGAATACTAATTGCATGGATTTGGACGGATTAGCTGCGGATGGCATAACCTTGAGTATTTGTAGAGATATTGCTTTTCGATGTCGGGTCAACATACAACGAGTTGGTTTTGAATCTAAATACAAAGTCTCATTTGCGATTGCTAAAGAACCGAAACATGGATTTGTTAGTCTAGTCCTATGTGCGAAGCCTTTTAAGCAGGATCTAACAATGTGTGTGGATGTTTCGTCTAATCCTGGTCCTCAATCTTTTGATAATAATCAGTCGGATAAGATGTCTCAACATCGAAAGCAGTCACGTTTGATGAACACGTTTCGACCCGCTAATAATCCTGAGGAGCTTAGTTCGATGCTTGGGCAGTTGAATCTACAGAAAGGTTGGTTGTTCCATATGACCTATAGGAATATATTCTATAATACCTACTTGGCAAACACCTCCGCGACACTATACATCACTATCATCATGCAAATCATCAGCCTGTTAACATATATGGCAGAAATGATATTAATTAAGAGAAACAATCTCATCAATATTCCTTTATCAAGCATTGCCAACACTCCTGATACAGCTGTTACTCAGCTTTGTGCTTTTGGTCTTCTCAACTGCCGGCCTATTCGAAACAAAGCCAATTTAGTCAAAGACTATGTGGTTGAAGAATTTGATATATTTGCGATTACAAAAACCGGCTTCACCCTGACAAATTTGATCTTATATCTATTGGGAATTTCACCCCGAAGGGCTACTCTTTAAACATATCTCGAGACAACAAGGTAGATGGGGAGGCATTGGTATACTATACAATAACACTTTAAAATTCAAGCTCTGGACTCGGCGAACATGTTCACACACATTAAATCTTTCGAACTGATGGATATGCAAATCAATGTGTTATCTCAAATACTAAATATAATCGTATTATATCGACCTCCATGTAGACGATAAGTCGGAATTAACAACAACAAAAATTCTCAATCTTGTTGATTCTTTTAATCTGGAACAACATGTAGAACAACCAACACACATTGCTGGTCACACGTTAGACCTTATCTTGTCTTGCCAAGAGGAAAATATTGTTCAATCTATTGACGTTCATGATCCATCTATATCTGACCATTACACGGTTAAATGTGAACTCAATTTTAAAAAAACATTGTTTCAGAGAAGGGTCGTGGAGTCACGTAAAATTAAAGCAATCAATATGGACTCATTCTTTAATGACATTAGGCTATCTCCGATTATCACTGGGAACACGGCTAATATTAGTGCGAAGGTCAACCAATACAACTCGGAGCTGTCCAGAATTCTGGATCATCATGCACCACTTATCGCCAGAGAGATAATTAGTCGTCCAGCTGCACCTTGGTACACTGAAAAAATTAAAAACGAAAAACGTATCAGAAGGAAACTCCAGCGGGTATGGCGTAAGTCAAGACAATCCTGTGATCGTCTAAAATACAGTCAGCCATGTCGCCGTGTCAGTGAGCTATTATCGGAAAGTCGTACTCGTTACTATTCTGAAATTGTTAGAGATAATGGGGGTGACCAAAGGCAATTATTTAAAACCGTTGGAAAGTTTCTACATCATACCCCTGATTCTCAATATCCTGTGTGCCAATCTGATCAGAATCTAGCTAACAATTTTATGACTTTCTTTGAGGAAAAAATTTTGTAATAATATAATATTTTGGTATTTTGATTTTTGTTTAAGTTCGTGATGTATTTCTATGTAGCCTCAGTCTTATCCTAATGGGAATTTTTTTTAGATGTGAAGAGAGGACGGCCATCCGAATTAAAGTACTAAATGTGCTTTGTAACATATTAGGAACGTTATTTCCACTATATGAGGTATAAAATGTTGGTACTTTGAATAAATTTTAGTCCATTTTTCTAGACATTAGTACGGTGGCCCAGAGGTGCAAAACACAAACGCAAATTCAAAACACAAACGCAAATTCAAAAACACAAACGAAATCAAAACATAAACGCAAATCATGAAAGCACGAACGCAAATTCAAAACAGAAACGCAAATTCAAAACACGAACGCAAATTCAAAACACGAACGCAAATTCAAAACACTAACGCAAAACTAACAACTTGAATGCGGAGAAAAAGGAAGTACAGACTGGTACAGACATACCCTGTCAGTAAAAGGAGGGCTATTTTCGCTGAGTGGAAGCATTAGCGCCATGACAAACACGTGGTTCTTCCAATCTGGCTTGTATCAAATTTGCAAATAAGGTAAGCTTTGATTTTAAAAAACCATTAAAAGTTATTTTTATGGGCATTTCCTTCCTTTTTTATACTTTTCGGAAATATATTTGCGCAGCGTACCGTAGTGTTCAGAACTTAGAATTGGCACAAATCACAACATCCATTTTTATGCAAATGTATATGTATATTAGTTGTATAATAAATTCACATTGGATGATAGGTGGTACACATTCCCCATCATGTACTGTACTAGAATTAGGTTTTGCGCATATAAGCAAGTTTTTTTTGTTTTAATTTGGGAATGATCTCTTTTAAATATAAAATTTTTTATCTGCTTTGTGTACTTCCCAATTGATTTGACCAAAACTGTATTAATTAATATTACATTGTATTAATATGATGAGGCGTCAATAAAGTTATAAAAATTTAATTTATTAACTGCATATATATATAGATGTTTTGTCCATCGTGCGGAAACCTATGTGTTAACAGCAATGCAAATTTTTGCAATTCCTGTGGCTCAGCATTAAAAGACGGAAATCTTACAAAGCCCAAGGAAATGTCAAATAATGCAAGTGGTGGCTTAAAAACTTTAAATTTTGAAGAATTTCTGAAGAGAGGATCAAGCAGAGAAACTAAAGACCAAGAACAAAGTCAACAAACCTTTAACGAAATGAAAAAAAGAAAATCAGATGAAAAAACGAAATCATTAAAAAAAAAGAAGGAAGAAATTGTAAAGGTTTGTTTATCATTTCACACTTATACTAGAGATTGACACATGACGGGTTCCCCCTTATCATCATATATTTTCTAAAGTTATAAGACATTGATAAATTTGGCAGTACAACTTAGCAGTAATAGTAAACTTAATATTATTTTGGTAGATAGCATTTGGTTTAGCATTTATACAGTTGTCATATCAGTTTACATGATGCAATCTATGATTATTATGTAATTGTAATTATATAGATAAATATTGGGTTGGTAGAATGTGGAGTAGCAAGGCATCTAAAAGTCAAAAGAGGTTCTCTTCTACCTCTCGATATGAAAAAAAATGATTCCAGTTGTAAAGTGAAGAGTTTGGGGATGGACAAGCAGTTGGCTCATAATAAACACCTGAGGGATTCTGGTGACTTTGATTGTGTTCTGATGTACCCAGACTTTGATCTGGTTAACACTATTCCAGGAACTTCACAGCCATTTACAGTTGAGAGATATAAGGAAGCAATTGGAAGGCCTTATAATCGAGTCAACTTGCACTTGTGCAAGGTCTCTGACTTTGAAAGTAAGGATTATTTACCTATAACAAACTGATTTGCATGTAATTAAAGCATATACAGTACAGTTCTCCAATCATGTATGTTAACATCAGTTTTAAATTTTTTCAACTTTTAATTCTTGTCACCCTCAATTATGATCTTTTATGACAAAATCCATATAGAAATGATGAAATCAGGTCAAGTTATATTTTTGGCCCTGAAAATCAGTCCCATGTTGTTGGATATAAAAAGTACCCCAAAAACTAGGACTTCATGATGTTGTGTGACATAGGACTTAGGATGGCCCCACACTACCTTGCATTGGGGCATTTAAGAAACACCTAATGACAATAATGACATAAATGTTGCTATAATGCTATATTTTTATGTTTGTAGTTGCCAATGATATTGAGATACTGAAGATGAATCTCTGGGTAATTATTAATTTAGTGTGGTAAAAACAGTACTGTTATAACTGACAACCAATAAAAAAGAACCAACTGATTAAAAATTTTATTTCAAATTTCTTACTCCTGTATATTTAGGACCACACAGCCCCCCAACAATTAACTCTCAGGACTGGAATAGCAACCAAACTATGTTAACTCCTAACAAGCAGGCAATTTTTGCTATGATTACCAAACAAGTATCTCTGAAACCCAAGCGAGTATCTTCGCCACCAAAGCAAGTATCTCTGATGCCCAAGAAAGTACCTCTGGCACCCAATCAAGTGACTGTGGAACCCAAGCGAGCATCTCCACCACCAAAGCAAGTACCTCTGATGACCAAGAAAGTACCTCTGGCAACCAAGCAACTACCTTTATCAACCAGGCAACTGAAACAAATATCACTGAAAATTTTTTATTTCCAGAAGATATATTTGAAGGTTAGAAATATCATGCATGGAAGGCCCTCTAATTCCTATCGAGTATTGTATTGCATATCACATATAGAATAGTCATTTTTAATTTTCTAGATATATTAGTTGAAACAGAAAACGTCAACAACACTGAGGTCATATCCCTGACATCGTTGGAAGAAATGGAAAATGAGGTCTTGGTTATCCATAGAACTCAAGTAAACAATAATTTCCTTCACTATTTTGCTAAGTAACATTTAAACAAGTTCATAAGTGTACAAATAATCGATCCCAGAGGTATGTAGAGAAAGGTGTAGGTAGCGGGGCTGTACGAGATGCGATTTCTATATTTTGGAAAGATATCTACAATAGCTATATGCTCGGTGAAGCTGAAAGGGTACCAATAATTCGTCATGATGTGTCTAAGTGCATGTGGCAGGCTCTCGCCAGAGTCACTCAAAGGTTATGTGCAAGAACACTATTGCCTATTCAAATATCCCCAGTCTTTTAAGCTGCTGTCTTTCGGGGAGGAATCTGTCACTTCTGAGATGTACTTTAACTCTTTTATGAAGTATATCTCTAGAACCGAAGCCATCTTAGTAGAAAAAGTTCTTTCTTCCTCTGTAAGTGTTGATACTAAAGAGGTTTTAGATCTTTTAACGACTTTTGAGTGCAAGAAATTGCTATGCCTGAAAACTTCAAGGATCTGATTATTGAAATTGCACATAAAGAATTGGTGCAGAAACCAAGATATGCTATGACTGTTGGTCAGTAACTTAGTACCTTTGAAATCTTTTATCACTTCTAACGACGCCTTGTTTCAGATATACACCTCTTTTTTTTCTAACGACGCCTTGTTTCAGATATACACCTCTTTTTTCCTACTGCGAGAAAAGTATGTAAGCTCATTAAAGCTGAACCAAAATCCGCTGCTGAGAATGAATCATTAAGTCATTAAGCGTTGGATCAAAGGTCTAATACGAATGATCTAAACACTTCTTGAGAATATCCACCGGATCCGAATATTAGTTGAGGAGATTTCTATGGCATTTACCTCTTTGGTTGGTAAAGGTCGTTCGCCAGTGTTCATACTTGTGGAGCAGTGAAAGAGCTCCCATCAACTTACAACGATTCGGCGATTTTAGAGAGGAATGGTGCAGTCTTATGTCTCACTCAGACATTGATATGGCATTAGTCTAACTGACGTGAATGGGATTAGGTGTTTGTCATGCTACGTTTGTATAAGGCAGAAGTTGTTTAATATTACATGTTTCTTTTATGTTTTGAAGTAATTACTTGAGTTTCTGTATCTTTAGAAGTCTCATAAGAATTATTGTTCATATTGCTTAAACATGCATATTAGTTACTAAACTTGTTAGTACACAACTATATATGTAAAGTTTATATATATTGTGTAAAGTTCATATTATCAGTTTTAACAAAGAACACTTAAAAGGTGGCAATGAAGCAACGTTAAATTTAATGAAACCTCGTAAACTTTTGGCGGTTAAATTCCGTGGCTCTATACATTCGGCTGATAAATTTGGCTTATGACATGGAATTGCAAGCAATTCCTCCAAGTAAAAAAGTGTTTCCTATATAATCTATGGCTTATATTAGGCAACTTAAGGAACGATAACGTTGACGTCCTGGACGTTAACTGTACTTTCGTACTCCCATTCCAGAAGGATAAAGGTCAGCTTAAGAGCTGCTTTCCAGTTACGCGTTTTTATATGCCTATGTTTTATATGCCTAAGTTTTTGAAGTGGTTTTTCTTTCGTGTTCTCGTTGCTTAAGGTCCCTACTTGTTTATACTACGTTGGAATATGAATTCACTTAGTTTGTTAGATTTTTCGTTGTTTTTTCTTGGTTCAACATGGGCTGCTGCAATCAGCAAGTTCATAATTATTGAGAGAATCGTTCCATGTTGTTGGCTCCTGCAGTTGTAATATTGAAAAATAATTAAAAATTACTTTGTGTATTTCGACATCTTCCACGGCAACGCTGCCTTCGATCGCTTGGATATCATGTTGCAGGCACTCCACCGTATGATCAACCGCGCCAACTGACCGGGCAAGAGAAAAAGTTGATCAGAAATGCCATGAGTAGTGTGGTATCTGGATTTTCTCACATAATGGGCATCCAGGACTCCTTAATAGCCTTTAAAGAATCCCTCATCACTTTAATGAAACAAAACCAAAGACATTCCAGCTGAAGTATATTGCGTGTCAACAATACCTCTGTCTACCAAATCTTAAAAAAATTAATCCACCACGATGCCCACGACCGACGTAGCATGGCCCACCACGCTCTATACGCTGGTTGCTGTGTGACGATCCATAGCGATGTGCTTTTATCCTATTATAGTGATCTCTGTGGTTTCGACGTAAGTAGCACTGAGCAGTGGCCATTATACCATTTTCAGTCCTTTTGTCGTTCGTAGAATTGTTGGGCAACCGTTTTGGGATTTAACACAATTAAGAAATAATCCTCCAATGACCCGAGGTCGTTATTTGTTCGAACGATCTCTAACCACATAATTCGCCTGCTAAACCCATCAATGCAGCCGTGAATGGGAAACCCAAACTGTTTGAGTTTATCGTACCCATCGGCATGCCAGGTAAAGTTTGGACCAGGATTTAAATACTCCCTCCGCTGCAGCTTATGAGCTTTTCTTACTGCACAACCTTCAGGATCAAGCACCTTTAAGATACTTTGAGCTGTTGAACGGCGCACACGCATGCCATGTTTTGATTGCAGTTTCCTCCACATTGATCTGTATCCTAAGAGGTTGCCATTTTCATGTAGTTCTCTTTGAACGCATTCCCTAACTTGTTCTTCATTCGCGTTGTATCTTCTTCTTCCCAAACCATACTCCTGTAATCTGGTGATGAGCGCTCTTTTACATATTTGATATCATGATATTTTTCTAAACATTCCAGTATCGTTTTGTACTTAAAATTTCTTCCGTAGTAAAAACGGATCGCTTCCTCCATATCAATAATTTTATATTTTACTAGGTTAAAAGACAAAAATGCATTTATAAATGTATTATACTTTGCAACAATCATATTAATAGACTTATCCTTGTTGACTTTAAATTTGTGGTGCGCTAGCTCGTTTTGGATTTGGATAAATAATTAAATATTTGCGTTTGTCTTTTGAATTTGCGTTTGTGTTTTGAATTTGCGTTTGTGTTTTGAATTTGCGTTCGTGTTTTGAATTTGCGTTCGTGTTTTGAATTTGCGTTTCTGTTTTGAATTTGCGTTCGTGCTTTCATGATTTGCGTTTTTGTTTTTGAATTTGCGTTTATGTTTTTGAATTTGCGTTTGTGTTTTGAATTTGCGTTTGTGTTTTGAATTTGCGTTCGTGTTTTGAATTTGCGTTCGTGTTTTGAATTTGCGTTTCTGTTTTAAATTTGCGTTCGTGCTTTCATGATTTGCGTTTATGTTTTTGAATTTGCGTTTATGTTTTTGAATTTGCGTTTGTGTTTTTGAATTTGCGTTTGTGTTTTGAATTTGCGTTTGTGTTTTGCACCTCTGGGCCACCGTACATTAGCGATATTATGAATCTTTTCTAGTTTTGTAACTCCTTGTTTTTTACAGGCAGAAATACTTGAGAATTCAGTGTTGCCACATTTAGACCACATTGCGAAAGATCGGGATATTTTTGTGCAGATCCGAGCTGTCCAGCTTCTGGTCGACGTTATTGCATCCTCTGATTCACCGAAAGTTTGCGATGTTTTGCATATAACGAGAAGGTACTCATACAATCCTTTTCAGACGGTTTCATTTCTCCACTCCAATTTGCCTCTTCATTCGTGATGGCTGATACTGTACTTCAATAGAAAACTCTCTCTTATCAGTGAAAGCTTCCTGACCTGAACCCAACTATATATCCGCAAATTGGATCGTTTTACACGGGAGTCGTGAATGCAAACGCATCAGTGAAGTAAAAGGATATATATTTCATTTATCAATTCCAGATTGCCACTGTCCAGTAGATCCTCTCAAGCGATACGTCAAGCCGTCGTGTAAAGAACATGTAAGGTAATTATATAGAGACTGCAAGGTATTTATAGGAACATCTAGAGACATATAATTACATCTAATCACTGTAAATTGTCTTTGTTGCTGCAGCCTCAGGATGAAACAGCGTAGAAAGACATCAAAGAGGCTGCATTAGGATTAGTACGGGGAACTATTTTTGCTTCAAGCTTAATAGGGATTTTTGTCAGGACTTATCGTTCCAGTTGTATAAAATGAAACTATTCACGATGAATTCCAAATCGTAATTCATCATGGTATCAATGCCCCCCCCCTCTCTCTTTCAAAAATTAGACCCATATTCCATTTCTAATTTAATAAGTGGGTTCTTTATAAAGTGATAAGCTAGCTAAAGCTAATGTTTCCAAACTATTTCCACATCAACATATGCCATATTTTTGTGCAGAAGATTAGTGGTTATAAATTACATTGGAGTGAACGAAAGGTTCCAGTGACGTTAGAGGTACTATTATTGTTTTCAAGTTTCTTGATAACTTACCTGTGTGTTCATATATATATATAATATATAATATATAATATATATATATATATATATTAATATATATATATAATATATACTTGATATTGCAAGACATTTGAATATTTGTGATTTGAATAATTCAACTCAGGCTTTCATTCCATTTCTATACTTAGGTCTCAGATTATCCTAGGGGATTTGTTGTTGTCTGTGGTGGTTTTGCACAGTGGTATGTACCAGATGTTGCTAGTACCAACCTTATAATAAAAAGGATAAGATACCGGTTATTTCTGTAAATTGAAGTTTTACATTTTGTGCACAATTTTGCTTTTGTTTTCCAGCATCTTTTCACATCAGAGAGGAGAGAGGAATTGCTGAAAAAGTTGATGGAATCTTCTTTAAATAATGTTGGTGTTACGATAAAGTATGTCAACATTTTAAGTAAACAAATTTTAAGTAAATGACAAAATGACTTATATTCAGGTTACTTTATTTGTTTACGTTTTAACCGTTTTTGACAAAATTCTTTCCAGGTCTGTAATTTACTTTGAGCTGTATTTGTTATTTCTTTTGCCTCGGTTTTTAGCAAAAGAAAAGTTCCATCAAAGTGGAGTCGTTTTTTTAAAACAAATTTATAAATACAGTTGAATGATATATTATTAAGACAGTATTTCGTTTGTCCTGTGTAAAGAATGTGAGATATGACAGTAAATGACAAATTTTTCGTTTCAGTGATGACGACCATATCACATCAATGTCAGAATTCAGCGTCTATAAAGAAACTCCTCGGAGTAAAGTGAGTTATGTTGTTAATAAAATTCTTCTAAGAGTCTATCCTTTTTCTCATTTTAAAATCGTTTTGACACTCTCAAATTTAGGATCCTGTTCAAAGAACGCTGTGTTTCTTAGAAACGTACAATATCGTCACCCTTCATCCCCTTAGCTCATTAAGTCATGCGACATTCCATGTCAGTTCCAGTAATTGTTCATATCTGACCTTGAAAGAAAACACTCCAAACACTCCAAACACTCCATGTCTTCTGATCTGGATTCAAGTTTACTGCTTTTATCGTCTTTCTTATTTCACGTTTCCATTTTGAACATGTTCAATTGCAAAAAAAGTATCCAGCCGAGTTAAAATAGTTTTATTTTTGCAGTTACTTTCCAGAATATACCGTATATAGCGTATAGTATATCATAGTTTTCAAACTTCTTTTTCTGTCAGATATTTTCAATAATTCGCTATCGAAACCATCCTCAGCTGTTCGGGCTGGAATACACAAGCGGTCGGCTGAGAAATTACTCGTCTCCTGACAGGTAGTGTAAGAAAGCAAATTTTGTATGAAGCAATAAAAATATTTCTTGTTTTGAATGTTTGTCTTTCACTCAATCTAGGGAAACATTATTGGCTGGTTTGCTAGACGGTGTTAGAGCCAGTTGAAACAGAGATGTTTGCGTAAAAACGACCCCAACGAAGAGAAGTACTGTACGCTTATTCATAGATGATTGAGCGAAAATTATGGTCAAAATTTTCCTGATGAAAATCTCGTACTGCTATGATTACCCTAAATACGATCCCTCATTTCATACTCCTGCTGACGTATGTGATCTCATATAACACACCAACAATTACACTTCTCGTCAGGTATCAGCAAATAGCATTATTCCTATTAGCCAGTTCAATACATCACATACAGCAAAAGAAGAATTGTTTTTTTAAGATGATATATTTTTCAAGGTTATCGTTGGGGTCCATTGTATAATGTTGTTGACGAAGAAGTAGAAAGCAGTCATTTAAATTCCTCGCTGCGTCTCCAGGTGAAATATTTCTCTTTTATTTCACTTTACATTTTTGAAATATCTCCAAAAGCTTATATTGTCTTATGACTGGTTCCTTGCAGGAAATTTAACCGAAGCTGTGTACAGATTTTACTGCAATATTTCCTACTGTGGTCTACTTCATGCAGTCACCCAAAACGTAAGTTGACAACTTCTTATCTTGTACTTTTCTGCAGACAAAATCCTGTGTAGAGAATATATTGCCTTTTTATTGAGTTTTAATGTTCTGTCAAAATTTGGATTAAGGCTGTTTCCACTCACGTGTTTTTCATACGCACGTACACGCACGTAAAAATCTAAATCCTTATACATGTTACCTTTGAAAAAACTAAGTGAATAAATCGACCTAGATGCATGTTAATTAATAAAAATTTAAAAGCATTTAAAATTCTCCGTATGTGTACATGCGTATAAAAAACGCGTAAGTAGAAAGCAGCCTTTAGTGTGAACTAAACGATTGCTAGGCTGCATAGTTACGTTAAATGAAAACATTTGCCCATTTCGGCTGCTAATTGAAAACATTTAGCAAGGTTTAAAACGTCTGCAAACAACACGGTACATTTAAACTGGTTTATCCAGTATAGCCAAAGGCAAAAAGTATGACTTTAATAAAAATACCCTATCCTGCTACTGTTCTGTGCACAAATGTACACAAAACACTAATAGTACTCCCTAAAAACCGCCGTAACTCCAGCCTAGTCCCAGGCCTCTCATTGCGCGTATTTTATATTTTCGTCACGTCACCGAATGAAACGCGCGCGAGAGGCCTAACACAAAATATTTTCTAATCTTAACGGCCCGTTTAATGTTGTGAACTTGAAATTAGAATTGTTATTAAAGTAAATGTTTGCAATTTACAACAGTAACCGTTATAAAGGAAGCGAGAATAATTTAAATTGGTGGATTGAAGTTTATTATAATCATAAACATGTACGTACGGACTCGAGTTTACTTGATAGTCGATAGCGTTGACGGCGACATTGAAACGTTTGTATGAATATTTCGACTCCTGGCAGTATAATCAATATCCCGTAGCTTACAAGGCCAGTTAACCGCGTCGTAGATCGTAAACTGACCTCAATACAGAAAGTGGGGACAAAAAGTCCCCACTTTAGCCAAAATACAAAACATTTTGTTCTAGGCCTCTCAGTTCCCGCCTCGCCGCGTATAAGGAACGTTATGAAGCCTAGGTACTAGGCTGCAGTAACTCTGGTTGCTGAGTTGACTGGGTCCGAATCCATGAAATGGTAGTTTTGAAATTTTCCCGGCAGAAGTACGGCCGGAATATTAAGTCTTTTAAACTCCAATATATATTTCAAACGATTTTAAATATTTTGTAGGGACTTTTGTCGGAGAATAAAGAAAGACTTATCATTAATGCCATCACAATGCTCATTGCTCACGAAGGTATTGTATATCTTTGCCAATAAATTTATTTAGTGTTCAACCCTAAAATATACATATTCTGAGTGCTATTACCTTCGCAGGTGTCCTATATATACATAAAATAGGTAAAAAGTTTCGTCTATTTGCAGGAGACCAAAACAAAATATGAGATAAAGATCTCGAAGCACTGTTTCACGATTTGAGAAGTTGGGTTCGATCCAAAGCAGGTTTCGCGCTTTCACAACGCTCACTAGGTGAGAAACGTTTATCTTTAACCACAACACCGCTGTTTACTCAACCAGTTCACTTGCGTGAGAAGGTTGGTGTGAAAACTGTGAAAGCTTTGAAGAGGAATAATGAAGCCGTGACTCACGCCGCTGTCGACATGTTGTGTTCTCTGATGCAGGTAAAGACAGGGCTTTCCTTTAAGCGGCCAAAATGGTCAGACCGGACATATTTAAATTTAAAATAGAGTATTTCGTTAAGAATACAGCGGCGAAATTTCCGAGCTAAATAGATGCAAGAAACGAAATACGTAAACTCAGCCAACTTTGAAATTTGCATGTTAACAGGATCCAGTTTTATCGAAACCAATTCTGTTGTTTTATATAGCCAACGCACGATAACTATGACATTCGAGAAGAACAGATAAACAAAAGCTCTCTGTTATCCTGTGAAAAATTTCTAAGCAGTTTGTTGGGAATTCTCACGATAAATGTGGTAAGATGTGCGGTGTTGGCCTATAATCTATGCTGAACCCATGCATTTTATTTTTCCATCCTCTTGTATGTATACAGCCTTGTTTTGGAAGAGAAATTCCCTTGCAAAACTCAGCAAGTGATTTGTAGCAACTGCCTTTCTAATTTGGACTACCTTTCTAATTAACACAAGAAATAGATTAACCATGAAAACTTTTCTTCTAGAATCGTTCTACTGGGGTTTAGGTATAAGTTGATTGCTTGATTTTCTGGCGTTTGCTCTGTGTCCTCTTTACAGGTAAAGTTCTGGTTGCTTTGCAATATATCAAAATAATGGGGGTGCAGTTGGACATTCATGTTAAACTAATAGTAAGGTGTGATTGCTTCTAATATTTTGAATCAACTGATGTGGTCTGTTATAATAAATCGACTATTGCATACTCCTCTTAGTGAGACAACAGACGATGAACAGTTTGGGAAATTACTGGAGAAAGTTGCAGGTATGCTACAAAGAAATTTGAGGAGTTTTCATTCAACTTGCCTTCTTGGTAGTTTATGGCTCTTTGACTGACGTTGAAAGTTGATTAAATTGCCTTTCTCTCTTTACATTTTTGGTGAAGTTTACCACGTCCACTAGCTTGACCCATGCATGGGAGCAACTCATGAAGTCTGTTATTTGTTTGTCTTGAAATGGGTCATTGCATTTATCGATTGTTTCAGGTAAGTTTACGATAAAACTGCAATAAATAGTACCAATTGTACCATTTCTTCGCTTATGTATGTTTTACTATTGCCCCGCTAATGGTTCTTACCAATCGTGGTTTTGAATTCGTTCCTCAACAATTTCAGCATCCGTCGACAACAATTGTGAAAGGTGCTGGCATGGTTCTGAAGGCGATAATCGAGGTACGTTTTATTCATTCATTCCTCCATTGAGAATTTTCTGCTTTTGACAAACGTCATTTATAACGTTCTGCATTTTTTTGCAGTGATGAATGTACATATTATTTCAGTTGATATTTAAGAGGTTTTAAAGGGTCTTAATTTCGAGAGGTATTATACACACTTCAAATTCAAGCCAGGAACAGTTGATGGAAAAATGAGTCAACTATAGATCCTCCGGTAGGAATCGCTTTTGCGATGCCGGCGCAATGCTCTTGTCACTGAGAACGTATAGTTGACTCATTTTTCCATCAACTGTTCCTGGCTTGAATTTGAAGTGTGTATAATAATACCACGCGAAATTAAGACCGTTTAAAACCCGAATTAGTGTGATATATTAACAAATTGTTGCAGATGTATAGCTTCGATTCCATCCGGAGCACCTGAGTTGTAGTTTAGCAACATTCTTAGATTCATCTTAAAACTTGTGATTTTATAATCCTCTATATACTAGCCATCTGTAAATAGTTCAATTGAGACTAACAAGCATACTCCATAAGTAATTTATAATCTTTATTGTTGGCATATAGGCAATTGAGTGGACATCTTGTGGCTCTCTGGACAACTGGTCATCCAACAGCAATGGCATTACTTGTGAGAATAATGTTCGTATTAAAGTAGTTATGGTTTTTAATGTCTAAAATATACAATAAAGTTTAAATGCGAGATTTCCTGTTCGTAAGTTTTGGTTCATAAACAATTATGTAATAGTGACTAAGTGGTATCAACTGCTTTGGTAACTAAACTCCATCATTCATCCTTAAACTGTCCCACTGACGAAATAATTAAAAGGTAATTCATTCAGAAGTGTAAAACCTTTTTGTAAAGAAACAATTTTGTTGGAAAGTTTTTATCTTTCCTTCAGCCACCAGAGACTAAAGAAGATCATTTATCAATTCGTGACACTGTAAAGCTTGCAGAGTACGTTTTAAGGCAACAATCGTGTTCCAAAATTTCATAATGCATGCTTGTATGTACGTATAAGCCTGTTATTTCACGTGCTATACTTGTCTGTTAGAGCTCTGGAAAAGCGAGAGGAACGTCAAGGAATCAACTTGAAGGATATCTCTCGCATTGCAGGACAAAATAGGATTCAAATCCAGGAAAGATGTAAGAATTTAAATCCAGTTGTTTTATTACAAGTAAGTGTTCATATTAAGAAAATGGGAAAATGTTCTAGTCGTTTGAAAGATGAAAAAGCAATGGTATTTAAACGGATCTTTTTACAGATTCAGTCAAGATTTGAAAGCGTACAGCCTGATTTGGAATTACAAGGTGAGTCTCAAAGCTAAGGTTAGTTTCCGTTGAAAATATAGGAAATGAAAAGGTAATGGAGGATTTCCTGTCGCTATGAGTATAACAAGACAAATTCAATAGTCCTGACCTCTTTCTCTAAACTGTTCTCGTAAATGAGTTTGAAACAATTTATTTTTTTTTCAATGTGACAGACGTGAGAGGAACTTCTGGGGCTCTCGAATCTGAGATGCGCGCATTTGCAATGGAAAAAGATCTGAGTGGAAACTACGTTGTTTTTTGGAATCACCTTTAGTTTGAAGTCCTGTATGAATGGTTACCTGATCAACTGAAATAGGTTAGTGATAATCCTTATACTGCTCTAGCTTTTTAACAGTTCTTCTTAATAAAGCCCCCCCCTATCCCTCGATAGCAATCAAACTCAGTAACGTATCTCTCCTATCAGGCGATCACATCGAACGAATATGCATCCTCATTGACACATGTGGTGGGTTAAAAACGCGCTAGTTCTTCCGATAAATTAAAGAACAGTTCCATATACTTTGTACGTGTAAAACTTTTCGCTTGATTTTCTTTTAAATGTGGGAATCCGACCGTGCAGCAAACATTAAAATCAAGCGATAACACTAAACTTGATTGTGATAGCCCTGAGTATATACCGCTATGATAGCTTTGTTCCTCATAATGATATGCTGGATTCCCCGTGAATTGCTAGAACATACCTGAAGAACAGCTATAAACTTCAATTCTCAAAGATATGTTGCGTACCATGTCTTTGGATGAATGCGGGTGTAAAGCGCGGTTACAGTTGGTGATAGGACATTTTCCACTAGTGAGTCTCTAATGAAATGAGTAATTTGTTAAACAATTAATCTTAGTCACACATTAAAAGTTATATATGACCGCATGGAAATGATGTGATGCATATAACGTGAGAGGGTAATCTGTAGGAGCCTTGCTTATTAATCCAGCTAACCCTGACTAATCCATTTATTTTGTAATGAGCGAATTTTTGCCCGTCGGAACTATAGGATACAGAGTAGGTCTTCACCCACTAATTATAATTACGGCGACTTTGAGTGAAATCGCTCCGACAACATCTTTCTTGCCGAAGTCAATTTAAATGCATTGGTCCTGGTAATTTTTCCGTGCAGATCAAGAAGCTGCCTCATTTAAGCGACCATGTCCTGTCGACTTATCCGCATTCCCAACACTTGTTGCTATTATCTGGGATGTTATGTGTCTTCAGTACGGGGGGCGATAATTAGTATCAATTATTCTATCTTCCGGCACCAAAACACCATCGAAACAATCATCAACAAAAATGAAACGATAATGCAGATAATTGTGCCATATATGGGGCCTCCAGAATTGAAACCAGTCGAGGTACAGCGTTATTTCAATTGATTTTGTGAAATCTTTACTGGGCGTTAACTTCGAATTTTATCACATTCCCATATAGGGGAATTACTGAATAAAAATATAATGTCCAACAGTCTTAATATGACATAATAATAAACTGAACATATACCATGTAGCCTGCAATATTTACCTTGCTTGGTATGTCAGTCCATCAAATCCATGTATGGCACAGCGATGGATGGAGGTGTAGTCAGTGATAAGAGAAAGGTAATAATTGTTAGCGATTCCTGGGTTGCCATAATTTATTTGATCTAAAATTGAGAAACAAGGAACAAGTAAATTAATCCCCGAGCGGGCGCGGAGCGCCTGCGAGGGTACTAATTCCGCTCGGAGATTAGGAATTACACCCGAAACCCGGTAGAACATAGGCGAATCCGAAGTTGTCCAAATTCTTTGTCATGGACGGTCGACGTTGGGTGGTTTTGTAAGTTATGCGCATGCGCGAGTAACGTCTGGTAATCAACGAACGTTCTGATTGGCTAAGACAGAAATTTTGTATTTCAATGAGAACGTCAGCAATTTATATTAACTGTCATTTCGTAAACAGTTTTGTAAAAGCGTTTCATAAACTTTGTGCAAAGAAAGTAAAACGAGAAGAAACAAGATATATGAAGCATGACAGTTAGCAAAGATGAACAATAATTCATAATCAGCAAACTTATAAATGTTCTCAAAGACATAATGTACGTGTTTACTTTGTTTATTTCGTATTTGTTTCGCGATAAGAATGAGCCGTATTTGTATACTTTTCAGCTTTGTATGCCGTTTATTTGTTAAATTTTCAGCTTTTTATGCAAACGCATAAACCTGTGAAAGGCTATTACACCTTTGCTTTAACTTCAAAAAGTGTTTTTGAAAGTGTAATTTGAATTTTGGTATCAAAAATATACACTATATTTATAAAGTATAAAACTTTTTGCCGCCGTTGTCGACTGCAAAATACAGAATAAAATAACATATGAAGTTTAATTTTTCTTTGTCTGTGAAGATTTTGTACTGTTTTAATCGTTCGAAACTTCGATTTTAAACCGTTACTTAATTGCTGGCATGGTATAATGCAGCGGGCAATGTTTACACTAAATTGAACGGGCAATGTTTAGACTAGCTTTATGATTATTTTTGTATCGAATGATGGAAACATTAGCTATAATATACTCGGTAAAATATAATAAGACTGATTTGAGTTTTGTGTCATTTCATAATATAAGTTTAGGTCAGGTTAACTCAGGAAATTGTGTACTTGGTTTAAAATAGCGAGGGGTTGCTGCATGCATGTATTTCTAGTATATTATTGTCCATAGTTGTGAGGCTATCAGCATTGTGATATCCCATGCAGGTTCGTGCGTACCGCTACCGTGGGACAACATTCCTTAGCGAACAAATAGTACTTCAGTGAATTGCTAGAACATACCTGAGGAACCGCCATAAACTTCAATTCTCAAAGATATGTTCTATATGCAATAGAATCTACAATTGAGATTACAAGAACATCACTTTCACACAATTGAAACTATAATTGTATATGAATCACAAGGCCCTATACTGTATAGTAACAGCATGTATTTTGTGACTTCTATAACAAAAAGAATATACAGAACAAAATGCAGGCTGTTTTCTTTCATATTCACATAATACCCCCAACCCCTGTATATTGGTAATTGGCAATTACATAATAGGAAAGGGAGAAAAATAAATCTATTTTTAATAACACCAGTGTAAAATGAATGACATATCGAATTGTACAGCAAAATATTGTGTAGGCATAATTCTTGTCATGCCTTCCATCACCAGATATCATGAAATTATCTTGGTTTTTTATTGTTTAAATTAATCCGTTTAATTTAAAAGCACAAAAATACCACCAAAATATAGCTGAAGAAAAATACTTTAACCCAATCGCTTCTGTTTTAATCCAGAAATTAATCAATATTGCTGTTAACCTGACACTGCAGTGCAGCTCTAAAAATCATATCAAATTACACGGGATTACAAACGGAAATATAACTCGCCTTTGGAATTTCGTTATTTTCTTCGTT